TCGGTGGCGACTCGATGTCCGGCTTGGATTCCTTGTATATTTTTCCACTGCTCTTAGGTACTGGTGAAGAAGATCCACCAGAAGCAGCGGCCGCCTTTTTACTGGATTTAGGAGTGTATGAGGAAGATGCATTGGCCACGGCCACTGCTTTTTTGCCTGCAGACAGGGCCAGTCGCTTGGCCAGCGGCATATCGTCGTCGCCCTCATCGGAGGACTCCAGGTAGGCGATGTTGGATGGCTGTCGTGGTGGGCGGCCACGACCGCGCCCAGTGCCACCGCTTGGGGAGGCGGTTGTGGAGGGGGTGTCCAACGACTTGGGTGGCTTTTTGGGCAGCGTTGCCTCCTTGAGCTCCTGCAGCACCTTGCCCTTGAAGGAGTAAGCCTGGAACACCTGGCCGCTGAAGAGCTCCTTGCCCTCGTTTGCGCTAACCGCGTTCTTGAGTGCACCCTTCACAGCGTTGTGCTCGTTGGTAATCTTCTCGTAGTACGCCAACTGTGCCGGCGACAGCTCCTCCACCCAGAACTCCATGTCCAGGGAGATTTCACTTTTCGTTACGCGCGTCATCTTGCAGCTAACTAGTTAACCGACCACTGGGCCAGCGAAGGCGTTATTTTACAATAATAAACCGCTAAATCAATTTTTTCTTCGCTCGAATTAGCTTTCTTTGCGTGGATGTACCTGCTCGAGTTCAAAAACGTCGATGGAACTATCGACTATCGGAACTATAATATCGGCTTGGGTATTGTCGTGACAATCGCATGGTGGTACGCTAAGCAATGGTTACGAAAAATATAAACCAATATAAATTATTTTTTTTTAATTATGAAAAAAATCATGTAAACAACACATTATACATTTTATATTCCGCTAAAAAGAACGAGAAACAATTGGTTTTAGACTTACGTATTTTCATATTGTCAATGAATGACAAACCTATAACGTAAATGTCAAGATGAATTATTACTAGCGAAATATGCTTTATAGGTTTGTTTATTTATATCTGACGTAATAAATAACGTAATAAATTTTAGAACGGGCTGTCAGAATTTTACGGAAGTATCGATGACCACAAAGAATTTTGATGGTGTATCGATGCTTTTACAAAAGCCTGCAGCCCTGAGCCCTGGCGCGCAATTCAAACTAAGACAGCTAAATATTACTCGAGTATACAACAACAACAAATAAAATAAAATGCGTAGTTTAGTTAACGTTTTTTATTATATTAGACTTAATATAACCTATTGTAGTTAACAGGTGCAATTATAACGCAAAAAATGTTAGCAGGCTAGGTTCGTATTGCGTCAGTCACCGTGAAGTTTCACTAAATCGAATTGAATTTATGACCACTTGTATATTATCGGTTCGTTAGCTACCAAAGCTCCCGTTTAAGTGGCCACCAATGGAACTTTTTTTATCACATTTGTATGTCGCTTTTTTATTTTCAGCGCACGTTTATGCATTATTTATGTCATTAATTACCCGATCATAAAGAATTTCTTTAATATTCAGTCCCCACAGAAAGTCGATGTGATTCCACTTTGCCTCCGGCATGCGATACGCGCTTTTCAGGGCACTAGGATTCATGGTATACCTTAGGCGATCCACATCAATCAGACTAGCAAAGTAGTCGTTGTCGCTGTAATAGAGATAGGTGGGCACATCAATGCCCTCCACATCGTACTCCGGCGGAGTCTTGCTGCTGTACTCCTTCTTGTTGCGCGTCGTGCCATAGTCGAATTGCCGGAAGTATCCTGAATTATACTCCTGCAGGTAGTGGAAGATCTGATTTACCGAACATCCCGCCGGAGTAGTGGCCATAATTTCTGGCAGCAGGGTTTCATTGATATACGGCGAGTTCCAGCCGCCCAGAAGGAATAATGTGTTGGTGCACATGAATTGGGAAATGGCCTCATCGCTGCACAGCACAGCCCCGAATAGGTTCATTAGGTGCGTATTTGGCAGAAACTCGGCGCTGCCGAACAGCTCGACGAAGGCATTGGGCTGACCAAGCAGAGGTCCGCCGACCGTGGCCAAAGGACTCTCCATATGCTCCATCCAGGCCACAGGAGCGAGCAAGTGAGCGGATCGAATGCGACTCTTGAAGCGGGGAATCATCGAGTTGAGAACAAAGAAGGAGGTGGTTCCTTGGGAGTGACCCACATACGTCAGTTTGTCCACATTTGTCCAGTAAAGGACGTAGTCAATCATAGCGGGCAGATCATAGATTCCAATGTCGTGCCACTCGAAGTTCCAGAAGGGCTGCAGCAGCGGCGACTTGCTGGCATGCCTTTTGGAGTAGGTATTACCTCTGGCATTACCCATCCACACATCATAGCCCGCTTCAGACAGCAGGAAAGCCAGTCCGCTGTGAGGTCCTGCAAGAACCCAATCCGAGGAGGAGCACAGCAGACCGTGCATAAGGAACACCACGGGGCGTGGCCCGTCGTTACCAGTGTTCTTCGAGTACGGGATGCGGTGCATGGTGAGGATGTAACCATCCGAGGTCTGCACCTCGTGCTCCTCGATTTCGTAACCATGTCCCCTAACAATGGTGACCTGGATAGTAGAGGAATATCGTGGTTAGAAAGGTCTTGCGGCTGCCAAAGGACTTGGCACTCTTAAACTTACAGTTGTCACCGAACTGGCTCGCCCCGCATCCGCAGGCAGGGCATTAGCCAGGCTCAGACTTAATAAAACCGCAATTAGCTGAACCACCAACATTTTGTATTCCGCAGGTGAAGGTGCTTTGCCTGCTGACTTGGCCGCCCGTGCCTTTTATACGCCCCCCAGGAACTTGATAAGGATTCCTAGATTTGGTTGGCTAATTTATGACTGTTTATTTTTGCCCGCAAAATGGTTTGATTCGCCAAGACTGATAAATCGTGTGGGAATTTCGCTTCCAGTTGATTTAAGGAATAGTTAGCGGTCATCGGCGATAAGGTTTCCTATCATTCCTTAATCTTGATAACTGCTGATTACGTATAATTGCTATGAGTTTAGTAGCAATTAGTATTTCCTGTTTGGGCATAAGGTAAGCTGGAGATTATAAGACCCTCAATCAATCAATGAACTGGCATGCTAAATCGGTAAGTGATAGGTACCTACACTAAAATAATAAATATGCTAAAATGATTAGTTTATTTAATAATAAACGTAGTTCTAAGACTTAAATTAAAATTAGTATACAAATTAAAAGAGATGAATTGTAATTAAAATGCGCGCCTACCGTTTTAAAATGAAATCAGTCGATAAATCAATCAATCGATAAATCAAAAAGTCGATAGACAATCGAAATTAGTGTGCCCAGATGGGATATTCTTGAAATGGTTTATTTTTCGCAAGGCGATTTTGTATTTTGGGAACAAGCGTCGCCGGCACACTAGGAAAATAACATAAATGGAAAAATGAATAAATAAATAACTGCCCTTTAAGGATACATTATGAGGGATCGAGACCGCCGTGACCGAGATCGTGACAGGGAGAGAGACAGAGATCGGGACCGTGACCGCGAAAGAGATAGAGAGCGGGACCGCGACAGACGACACAGGTCCAAGTCGCCAACCAGGAGCAGCCGGCAGATCTCAAAACCGAAGAAGAAAAAGTCCAAGAAGTCGAAAAAGTACACGAGAAGGAGTCGCAGCAGCAGCCGTAGCACCTCGCGCAGCTCCTCCAGCAGCAGGAGCAGTTCCCGCAGCAGGCACAGCAAGAGCAGAAGCAGGGACCACCACAAATCTCGTTCTACTTCGCAAAGGAAAACCCGGGGACCAAGTTCTGAAAGCAACTCTCGATCCGCAACAGCACCCGCAGCTGCTCCTGTGAAGGCCATCGATCTGTTGGACACCAAGGTGCAAAAGGCACTCGAGACCATAGACGAGGACACCTTCAAGCCGACGTCATTTTTTAGCTCCAGGGATACAAAGGAGAGCTCCGAGAAAGTGATCATAGATCTTAATAACGAAACAGTCACAGTCGCCAACAAGCCAGCCATTGCAGTCCGAAACGAAGATGTAATATTCCATCCGAACGTGAGTGGGTTACCTGGTGCACGAATTGCCATGCTAATAGTATTTGATTTGCAATTTCCATAGTTCCTGGGCGACCCGGATCACAAGGCCGAGAAGTGGCTGCGCAAGCTCTACAATTACCGCCAGAAGTACATGCAGGAGTAGTTGAGTTTAGACTCTGTATTTATGAAACAATAAACCTATGCCTAGAATATATCGCTGCCCGTCTTTCGAGCGCGTTGCAAGGCTTCCTCCGGAGTCAGTTGCTCGTTCACCGAGGGCTCCTTGGCACTGCCGTCGGCCTGCAGTTTGCCCGCCTTGAAATCTTCGATAATCTTCTGCGAGTAGACGGCGTTGAAGAGATCCAAGCTGGTGAACTCCGACTGGACGACGTCCGGCGCCTTGTAGGACACGTACGGCTTTAGATTACAACTGGTCAAATCGGGCACAATTATGTCCGGAATTTTCTCGGGAATCTCCACATACTGCCCGTCGACAAGTATGCCCGTGTCGCGTACGCCGCGCTTGTGAATGGCTACCGGCGGTTTGGCCATCGTTTTTTGGGCTTCTTTCACCACGCGCGTACCGCGCTTGTTGTATACGTTGAATTTACGGAAATTCCGCTTGCCCTCCAGCACGGATGAAGTACTGATGGTCCTTTGCTGGCACCGAAGTGCAATGGGCACTACTTTTATACAGTTATTCATTTCTATTTGGCTTTTCGACGACCAAAATGGTTAAATAACAAATGTGGATGAGGGAACAGCTGTTTGGATGGCTAGAGATGACACTGTTTTCGATAGGGCAATTAATCCCAGTTGGAAATGTATTGAAAATCATTTTGCAATATAATTACTTATATATTTTCAAAATTTCCGAAAATTTTGTATTTTACTTTAAAACATAACTATATATATTTTATCTCCATAGGAAATAAATTATATTTTCTCAAAAACTGCTCATATTTTTTCATGTGTACAAACAACCATCTCTAAATTAATCGATAAATTTTACCGCCCAGTGCTTAAAAACACCGCTAGATGAGATGAAACTCCCCAAATCGGCTTGTAAATCCAATAAAAAGTTGACTGAGACTCGTCGGTTGTTAAGCAATGTCGTTGCCGGCTGAAGATGATGATTTGGCGGACACTGCCGCCAAGTACGACTCCATCGAATTGAAGAGCATGCAGGACCTGGAAGCATGCGAGCAGCAACAATTGCTGCAGTACGTCGAAAAGCTGCACGGGATTATCCGCAAATACGACACCAAACTGGCGGCATATAAACAAAAACTCATACACTACGTGAGTCTGAATTCAGGGTTGAACAAAAATGAGCCTTATTTTGTGATTTATCCTAATAGCTAAGCCGGGAAGAAAAGATTTCGTGTGACAAAGCCAGCCAAGCCACCGAGTCGGATCCACAAGGATGCCAGGATTTCATGGAAAACGATGAGGATACTGGGAAAAAGAACCAGCCCAACGATTGTGAGTTATAACTTGTTTTTTATTCCACTGAGTCTTTCTATTATTGCTACAATAGTAGTGAGTTCCTACTTTGATTTACTGGCCACCGCGGCCACCAGTGCAGCTCCACGTCCGGATCCGTCCTCCGAGAGCATGATGTCCCACTCCTTGTCCGCTTTCACCAGCTTTTGCAGGGTCTGCCTCATGTAGGCATCGAACTTTGGATGGTACCTATAGACGGAACCATCCATGCCGACTATCACGCGGCGGTTGGAGGTCCTGTTCACCAGGCCACTTACTCCGATGGCGACTAATGTGGCCGCTCGCTTAGCTACGCACTCGCAGATGTAACGCAGAGTCTGGCAGTCCTCCACGGAGGCCTTCTCCAGGCCAAACAGGTTTCTTACGATCTTCCTGGTGCTGGCAAACTCTGGGAAGGTGTCGTCCTCGATCTCCGATATATAGCGCGTCTCGAAAACGTCTTCATTTCTCTGCAGCACGCCGGCGAATTCTGGACGTCGACTGCTCTGTTTAAAGATCAGTTTGCGCTCGAGGGCACGAAGCAGGACCAGGCGCACCAGATTCCCCAAGTACATGCCCGCCGTCATTTTTTCGAACAGCTGCTCCGCTCGGTTGATAGACTTCTCGTCCACTTCGCGATCGTATTCGGTGCGCACAAAGTCCAACTGACCACCCTCACCAAAAGCACCCCACTCAGCATTTACAATCACACTCCGCTTCGTTTTCTTAAAGTCTGCGCGCAAGAGGTCCACATTCTCAACATCCTCCACGTAGCAGGCGTTGCAGCCAGTGCCCACAATGACGCCCACCCGGCAATCTGCGTTACGATGGGCGCAGGACATCAAGGTGCCTGTAGTATCGTTGAGTATAGCCACCACGGCAATGTCGGCATCTCCGCGCCGCTGAATGGCCTCATGCAGCAAGCGGCCCACATCCTCGCCCTCGACCCCAGCACAATCGAAGCCCTTGGTCCAGCGTACCAGGAGGCCCTCCTTGAGGCCTAGCTGCACGCAAGGGAAGGAGAAAGTGAAGCCCAGTGGCAGATATGCGGTCTTCATGTCGTGCTTTTCCACAAATTTGGCCAGGCAGCCCGCAATGTGATCGAATAGCTCCACACCGGGCCCCACCATCAGGTCCTTTGGCACGGCATAGATCTGAGAATCCACTGTGGCATCGTGGTGACCTTTCAGCGAGACGAGCAGCACCCGGAAATTGGTACCCCCGAGATCCAGGGCCAGATACTTGCCCATCTCGTCGCCCGTGGGCAGATCCTGCACGTACGTGGGAAAACACTTGACATTGGCCTGTGGATGCGTGGATCGCTTAAGTCCACGGGCCACTTCCAGGCAAAAGCGACTGTACACTTCCTGCACCTGGTAATCACTCAGCACAAAGGGTTGCATAAGTTCTCGCACCTCCGCGTCCAGCATTTTGCTTGGCTAATCTATCTGTCTTAGTTGTAACCGCTTCGAGCGATGAGTAACGACTAACCAGGCGCCTGGCGAGCCCACGGCGATTTGGAGCTGCCCTGGTTGGGTGATAAGAGCCAGGCGTCGAGATGCAGTTCGCCAGACTTGGAAACAACTGCTGCCGCTGCAATATGGACGCTGCGTAGCAAATTAAAAACGAAAACACCTAAGTAGCTGTTTTGCGGATTCCGAATCAAAAACTACAACTGCGCGACATGCTAATCGCTTGTTGTCTCGGTTGCCGCTTGTCAATTGGTGGCAATAGCTTCAGATTCGGCACCCTACAATTTAATTGTAGATCGACTTTAGCCGACTATTGGAATGGAGGGACTATGCCACAATTAACTTTGGAAGAACTAAGGCACCCATACTGATTACTAACTAAAAGCTTAAAAGCGTACATATAAGTTTTAATTTAAAGATGTAATTGATAGAGTTCACCACAACTAATTTTCTATATAACTTTTCGCAAAGGGTGCAGTATTTCCGGAAAAAATGGACAAGGCCGTATTTCACTTTTATACTTTCTTAAGCCATAAATTGTCGCAGGGCGATATAAGCTGCAACGCGCCTTCTTAGTTATCGATGAGATAAGACCATTTCAAGGACCGCATCTTACAAGCTGAGCCCACCCACTTCTCTATCTATTGAGGAGTATTAGTGGGGTCCTAGGTCGAGTACGTCAAACATTCCATGCCGGTTATGCCCGAGATAAGCACTGAAGTGTCGCATGGGCTAACGCCACCGCCCCTGACAAAAACCCGAACCGCCCTTGACACCTCTGCTAAATAGAATTAGTATTATTGCGCAAAACGCAGGGGTTTAGAAACATTTTACTTCTTATACTACCACTTTAATCTCTACTATATAGTTGTACTATACACAAATAACTATAAACATTAATTTATGACTATAAAGATAATTACAGTCCATTTCCGACTTTTTTTTTAACGCTTAAATAAGGAAATGAGCCGTGTGTTGTTTAAAACTGCTGATAACAAGCCTAGTTTTCTTGTTAGTCAACACATGTTTTGATTTCAATATAGCTGTATATTTATAAGTTTCCAAAACCTTATCAGCAACCATCAAAACATTACAAGTCATATTTGGAACCCATTTATATTTGCAGTATCGGCGACGGACGCCTTCAGTTTTGTGGACGAAATGCGACAGGCGGCCAAGCACGCCGAAAACCTGAACAACTTCGTTTACGAGCCCACCTCCGGCATGTACTACGATCCCAAGACGGGATACTACTACAACGCGGTAAATAAGCTATAAACAGCGGACGCAATCTTTATGACGTCCCGTTCTATTCCGCGATGCAGTGAATGCACCGCGATGACTTTCAGGGGTTATCGCGCTGGCAAACCTACATCAATGGGTCGGATTGTTGTTAATCCACACCTGCTTTTCTCTTCCTCGCAGGAGTATGGGCTGTACTACGATGGTAACACCGGCTGCTACTACAGCTATGATCACGCCAAAGACTCGTACGAGTTCCATTCGCAGGCCCAGGTGCAGGTGAGTGGGTGTAGTCGCGGATCTCACTGCCACACGACCACATTAACCACTGTTCTTCTCCTCCTCGCTGCGCAGCCTTTGAGCGACTGCGCCTTTAGTAGTCTTTTAGCGGGTTTTCACAAACTCAGCATAGACCGAATGCGTAGCAATGCATTAGGTAAGCGTCAAGGTCCAGAATGTGCGATAAAAACGCGGATTTCTTTTCTTCACTTGGTTGCAGGCGAACGAGGCGGCCAAACCAGAATCGGAAGACGAGGATCTGGAGGTGGAGTTCGATGAGCTGGGAGGCGTCATTACGGACCGCGAAACGCTGAAGAACATTCAAGCCGAGAAGCAAAAGACCAAAGATCAAGCTGAAAAAGCCAAGCGCAAGGCCAAGAAAAAGAAGAGTAAGAAGCACAGTAAGAAGAAATGCAAGAAGGAGCATCGTCACAAGTCCAAGAAGCGTCATCGGCACTCCGATGATGAGCGGATTAATGACGCCGAGGAGGGCGAGCTGTCTCAAAGCAGCGACTCCAGCACCGACGAAAGCAGCAACGCAGAAAGCAGCAGCAACAGCAACACGGAGGACAGCAGTGTTCCAGTTTTCAAGGCTGCCGGACGCTTTCAAGGTCTTTAAGATATCCGCGTTTTTATCGCGCTCTTCGTTGTTTGTTTAACTAACGATTTCTCTTTTGCGTAGACATTGCTAAGAAGTATCCACCCTCCCTGCGCATCATTGTCCAGGAGACCAATGTAGAGTCGCTGAAAGTGGGAAGCCTGCATCTAATCACATACAAAGGTGGATCGCTTGGACGGGAGGGTGCCCACGATGTTATCATTCCGGACGTGAACGTGAGCAAGTGCCATTTAAAGTTTAAATATGAGAACAAGTTGGGAATCTACAAATGCCTGGATCTCGGCTCTCGCAATGGTACCATCCTCAATGGTTCCCCCATGTCCAGCGACGCCATGGATCTCGTTCACGGCAGTGTTATCGCTCTGGGCCAGACCAGACTTCTGTGTCATGTCCACGAGGGCAACAGTACCTGCGGCTTGTGCGAGCCGGGTCTTTTGATAGAGAATCCTGCGCCGCCAGTAGCTGCAGTTGGCTCATCCACCGCATCCGTATTATCTCACAAGGAGCAGCTGAAAAAGCTGCAGCGCAAATACGGCCTGGAAAATGAAAGTAAATACAAGACTACCACTACTCTTCACTTACAATCCTTTTGACAATCCTTACTTAACTTTTAGAATTCGTTGACACTGGCGGCAATGGCCAGTCCAACTACAATGATCGGGCCGCAACAAGGCGAGTCCAGGTGGGCAGCAGCACGGATAAGGAAAAGACTGAGGTGGCTTGTGTGAACACGTGAGTATGAGCTTACAAATCTGCACGTTTCTTGCTTGACTTTGTGCTTCCTTTTTATTCCTTTGCAGTGAAATCGGTAGCTCCAATAAGGGTTTTAAAATGCTGAGTAAGCTGGGCTGGCAAAAAGGCGAGACTCTGGGCAAAACGAATGCCAGTGCTGGACTTTTGGCGCCGGTAAGTGTTTCTTACTTATGTAGCCAGTCACCATTGCTCATACCAAGCCGTTCGCAGATCAATGTGGTGGCCAATGAGGGCACTAGCGGGTTGGGAAACAGTGACCCTGTGATGACCAGCACTAGGCACGTTGACAAACGGAAGCTGGCCAACTTGAAGATCACCCAGGCCCGATATCAGCGCGCCAAGGATATGTTTGGGCAGTCGGATGATAGTGATTAGAAGAAAGGCACTTTCAATGTTGTTGGAAACACATTTAATTAACAATTACTCAAACATATTTATAAGTGTATGTATATATATATGTATGTATATACACATCGATTCTATATATGTATATATTAATTCAAAAATCTTGCTATAAGGTTAAGCTATCAGTCAATTAATTAATTTAGCTTCGCTTACAAACAAAATGAATAGGGGAAGGTAATGTTAAATAAATACGACTTCGCACACGTTGTTCTAAGCTAATTGCGAGCCTAATGGGCATACAAACCGAACGTTTAAATTAATTACCGTGTAGCCTAATGTTAATGTTAAATACAAAAGCCTCTTAAGATATGTGGTTTCTCTTGCGATACATGCTGGATAAGATTTGCTGCAATACGTAATGTTGTATGGTTGATAATACTTTGCCTGTATGTTAAGTGTATCGGATAATATGTAGTGTACGCTTGGTTGGCTTGGGCAATAGCCTCAGGCCCATCCACCGATTACAACACGAAAACGCACAACGAGAATCTTTGGATGATGGAGCTACGGATGAACACTACACTACGCCCTAGGCCGATGTGGTCGGGAGATGCATCCGGGATCCTAGCAGCTGCCCTGCGACTTAACGCCGATGAAGTAGCGGGATTCGCAGGAGTGCTTGTGCATCTCGCACCACGAGTTGTATGTCTGGTTGTTGTAGCCGCATATTTTGTGTACCTAAAAATCAAAGTGCTTCATAATAACTATAATATTTTTTATGCACAAAATCTGTACTCACCGGACGCTGCTGCTTCCGGGGACACTTGTAGCGACAGGTCACGCATCTCGGCTGGCGCGTCTGCAGATCCACCAGGCAGTTATCCTTTGGCCCACACTTGATGTCCGCACAGCTCACGCGGCCTGCTGCAATATAAAGTTTATGATGCGAGCGCATTAATGACGGCTGCCTGCGGTTAAGTTTCGGCTTTATGTCTGGCAATTTCGCTTAAATGGCTCCTGCACACTGAAATGCATGTCCTGGCCGCCATGAGAACCTGGGCAGGTGCTGCTGTGATAACGGCACAAGTGCCTGGCCATTTTGGAGCAAACTTTCAACGTTTTAAGGGCCCAAAACATGGCTCATTAGGTCATACAGTTTGTATGGCCGAGAATTATAAAATATCGATTGAAATTCAAGTTGGAGCTAGCTTAAGAGGATAGGATATTCATAGGCATATGCATAACTATATCTGGTTACTTTTACTGAAACTTTCTAAGCTGCAGCATAATTCACACCACGCATTATAATGAGATGCAAGACTGCAGAAAAAGAATTCTTTGGTTTGGTTCTGAGTATGTTGCACAGAAAATTACAACCCATAATAGAACCAAAGACACTAGAATAATTATTCTAGTGTCTTCGATAGAACCATTGGTATTCATAGTAAATATTCCTTTACAATTCCTTGATAAGCATTAATATTGAATTTCCATTTGATGAACTAAATAAAGAGAAGAAAAGAGCACTCCGGTCGTATCATATTTTTTTCTGTGCACCAGTGCCTTCAGCACTCCACTTCCAGCCCATCCACATGCACAACCCCATACCCATCCCCATTCCTTTTCAGCAATGCGCAAGACGGGTAGCATCTTCGGACCGGGCCAACACCCGACATCTGACATCCGACTGGTGCGACTGCCGGGGAGTCGGCCAAATGGGCAGTTAGCCATTTAGCCAGTCGGCCAGTCGAGCTATAAAGCAGCCAAGCGGCGCGCAGCCGCAAACGCCGGGCAAAATATATGTGTTTATCGTCAACATGATCTGCGTCTTGGCAACTTTGTTGCACAGAGCCCCCGGGCATTGTCGATCGCAATTGCGATGGAGGAGGAGATGGAGGTGGAGGTGGAGCAGGAGCAGCAAAAGGCAAAGGGAGTCGGCTGGGTTGCCGCTGTTTCGGCCTCTGTCTGGGTGTCTGGAACTGCATCTGCATCTGCATCTGGCGTTGCGTCCGCGGGTGACGGTGCGTGAAAGTCCGCCGTCTAGCAATTCGTAACAGTTAAAGTTTATTAATTTCAACTGCCAATTTAGCCTTAGGCAGATACGTCCTTTGCGCGAGATCCACTGCTCCACTCTGCGGCGCTGCCCCGCACTTGTTGATTGTGATGGATGTGGCAGTGGCCTCCAGAGCGGGAGCTGTGCCGCTGGTTGTGGCTGATAATGCCGTCACAAGGCGAGCCAACTATAATTTGTTATGTCGACGTGGTTTAATCAACGCTGGCGGCCGTTGGCGGAACTTATTGCAACATTGTATGGCTTATAATGGGATGGGATCATATTGGATGGGCCTGGGATGGCATGGGATGGGCTCTGCTGGTCTGGTCTGTCCGGTCCGGTCTGCGATGGGATGCGTCGTGGGTCATGTGTCTGGTCTGGCCGTGGTATATGCGTGTTCCCATTCAGACCAGGCCGGGCGGACTGGCCATTGGCCATTGGCCATTTTGGCATTGCGTGTTGTTTAAGGTGATTTTAATACGATCGTAAACTACAGCCGGCCCAGAGAGAGGAAGAAGACCCAGACGCTCCACCAGACAAAAGTGACGTCGCGACGACGTGGACACTTGGACAGTTGGACAGCTTGACTGCTGGACAGCTGGACTGCTGGACTGCCGGACTGCCGGACACCCCAGACCGGACTTTATGCCACTCGGGACAGGGAGCCCGCCGCAATCCCCACTCCTCGAGAGTTCTGCGTCGCCGCAGAACGTTGCGAAAATGGCGTTTTAATGGTTTGTACGTGTAGTCATATTTCGTGGCTTGTGCCACAAGGTCTCTCTCTCTCTCTCTCTCCCAGATGCCCCTCCATCATAGCCAGAATACTTTCCAGCCTGAGCCCGGATCGCGCCTGAAAATATTTATGTGAAAGCGGACAAACAAACAAATGCCAAGAACCATAAACTTACTAACCATGAAGATAAAAAGCTCAGGAACCAACTCACGCGCACGCTAGCATTATCTTATCGGCGGGCGATCCACGGAACATAACGAGTACCAGACGCACATTAAGCAGCAGGAAGGAACCCAGGGAAGCGGAAGGAGCAGGCTCATCACCAGAGGGACTTGGACGGGATGAGGATGGGCATGGGCATGGGAATGGGGATCCCAGATCAACAAACTGCAGGGACTCACGCACACTTGTCTTTGGCCTTTGAGATACGACTGCCGCTGGCGGGAGTGCAAAAAAGCAAGAGTGAATGGTGGCTAATGATCTCTATTTGGCTATGGAAACCGGCTACCGTTAAAAGCAATTGAAGGAGATAGACGGGTGATCGGCACATGAATGAGTGCTACTGTGAGTCATATACATATTATATATTAAATATATAAGTAGATATAGTAGAAGTTGCCTAAGGCGGCTGGTATACAAAATTTGACTGCTTTCGAGATTTAAAAGATTTTGTACAGGAGAGTTCATTCCTTTTCTATTCTCTGACCAGTGAACACACACAAAAATCACATCAAAATTTTTTCTCTGGCTTATTTTTAGGTCTTCTGAAGTTTGTTATCTAAAATTTCTTACGGAACGTAGATCTACTGATAAATATTTAAAACATGATAATCGCCAATGAATTTCCTCTGTATGTAAAAGCATGTATGGTTTTAAAAGAAGTCTGCAAATGAAATTGTTCTTGGCGTCTTCGACGACGTGGTCGAGATTGGATCTAGGTGGATCTAGGTGACCTGTACTATCAGTTCTGCAGTATACTAATGCATGTACTCGATATTGGCCGGGAAAGATGCAGTTTTGCTCATGCAAAATGAAAGTGTGATGAAAAAATCGGAAATAGGTGAAGTTATTAATTTGTTTATCAAACTAAAAACCCGTCCGAAAGTATTTTAACCGAAATTGCCGCGCGGAAGTAACAAAATTGAGAGGTAAGCTACCGCAGTGGAGGGATAATTGAAGAAGGAAATGGAGCGCGGCGACCCCAACACCCTATTATGAAAATTGAGGACGACTAAGGCAACATTATTGATAAATAATAATGCAGAGCCAAATGACCCGAGGGAGCGAATTTTTGTCAACGGCAGGTGGTGCTGGTGCTGGTGCCGGATAGACAGCTTTTGTTTTCGCATCAACTGCAGGCTGTAATTTGCGGCAAAACACTGCAATTAACAGGCAATTGCCGCACGGCAGCCCTCTTTTGTCTTCGGCCCCCATGGCACACTAAACTAGTTCAGTCCGTCCGTCTCCGCCGCTCCGCCTCCGCCTCTGCCTCCGTCGCTCCTATCCGGTGCGGTCCGAGGTTCTCGAGTTCGTCTCCGGATTTGGTGCGACTGCGGAACGCCCACCACGCCCACCACGCCTACCAGCACCACTGATTGCCACACAGCGAGAAAAACACTGGTCGATGTGGCGCTACTTTTAACCAAATGTGTTAATAGGATAGGAATAGCAACACCTATTATATGTATATGTATAATTATGTATGTTTCGTGATTTTAATATTTTCGCTCCTGTGGAGTCCCAACTTTTAAGATACAAAGCTTCTTATTGATCCAATGATCTTGGCAAACATCTAGTTTTATAATATAGCAAATCGTTCAGATTTGAACCTATGATTGCCAGAGGATTTTGGTATAATAGAATCGTTTCAATTAATTTAAAGATTAAATTTCACTAACCCTTGCTTTTTCTAGCTTTTGACCTTAGAAACTCCAAAATGACCATGTACCAAAATAATTTCACATATGTTCTATTATTAATGTTTCATTATCTGAAAAATCGCATCAAAAGGAACATTTGTAGTTGTTTAATTACAAAATGAGATAAAATCAACAATTATTTTTAATATTCTAACGGAATGAATAAATACACCTCATATTTACAACTATTAATTTGATAGATAAATAGATACAGATAATGACGAATGATTTTATAAGGATTTTATTTTTGTAATGCTTGATATTAGATATAAAATGTTTTTGTGTTAGATCTATTTTACTTACACCGTTTTTAAGCACGGCATTATTTATTTATTTTTTTTTCGTTTCAACCTTTTTACTATAATTACTGTTTATGACAACTTGGAAAACGTATAGATATTTCCCTAACAGAAATTTCCTCATATTAAGCACTATTAATATCAAATAATTCAGCTTACTTGTGGAAAATGAATATTTATGAACACGGAATGGATATAAATTTTGATTTATGGATCATGGTGATGCATAAAGTATCCTCAAGTGGCAACGAGCGTATTTTCCCGCGGTGCATTTTCTGTCGTGGGCCGACTTGAGGCATTATAATTAATTGGAAATCGGAGTCGATCAATCGGATGGCAACCGCAAAATTAATAAGCATGAATGATGCCGACGACGCGAGTGTTCGCAGTAATTGTGGATGCGCCTGCACTCGCACTCGAACTCGAACTCGTACTCGTAGTCAAAGTGGAGCAGACCAGACCAGATCAGAGCAACCCAACCCAGGCCAGGCCAGGCCAGAGTCGGGCCAGAGTCGGGCCAGAGTCGGGCCAGAGCTGACGAGCTAATCAAATTGCTGGCAATCATGGAGCCGTATAAGCAAATGTAGCAATTTCAGTCAAACACCGAGAGAGCCGGCAACTTGATATGGCCAAGTTGCAGACGGCAACAACCACTTGTGGCTGCGACGCGATTTGATTCGATTCGATTCGACTTGGGCTGGCTGTGGAAACCCCAGTCGAGTCAATCAAATGCAAAATTGCGGTTCTTTGTTGATTGTTGTTAAAATCGCACAGCCACTACCCAGCAGCAGCAACAGCGGCACACTGCATTTACCAACTGCAACTAGGCTTTCCATACCAATTAGTTTGATTGATTTTCGCTGACTGCAGCCAAAATACATACCTCGACAGGGTCCCGGATATGCCACGGCAATGGAACGTCCAATTTTGCAAATCATTCGATTTATATCACAGGCACTCCTGTACGTCTTGCCATCCACGCCGCACACGGCCTGTCGCTCGTCGTAGCCACTGGAGTCCACGTCCAGGTTGTCCCAGGGACACTCGATCCGGCAGGCGATGCAGTGGGGCATCAGGTGCTGGTCCTCCACGCAGGTCAATCCGCTCAAGCACTGGACTCCGCTGCAGCTGCCTGGGGATGGGATTATGGAGGAAAAGATGATGTTATACTGCTAATATGAATCTGTATTTTCTATTCTATTTTAAGAGCCTTAGATTTGCAAATGTATATAATGTACTGCTTTGTAAAAGATAAACTAAGATGCTCAACAACATGACAATTAATCATCCCTATGTGTTGCAGGTGCAACTATGTTGGCATTAGCGAATACCGTTCGCACATGGGCGCTGATTGGGCCTATAAATAAGTAGTTGGCCAATGTCTATGATTAGCCCGTACCCGCGCATCCCACCGGCGGCCAGTCGGATGTATCTCTCGGATGTATCTATATGCGCTTGTATGGCCGGCCGGCAATAAACTGTCGAAATTTATCAGGGGGACATGCGGCGAAACGCCTTGGCGCCAACTGTGACACTCGCGAAATATTGCAATCATTTCTCTGCCGGCAATTGAATGCGAATGCGAATGAGTGGTCGCCGCAGATCGCCATCGGAATTGGCGATTGGAAATTCCATTGGATATATTGGCACGCGCCAGCGTTAGATTGCTGAAATTGCTGTTGCTGCTGCTGCTGCTGCTGCTGCTGCAACTCGTGTTGCAAGTTGCTTGCTGCAGAATGTCGTGGCTTGCGGCTAATCCAACGAGTTCTTTGGGTTCCTGGCTCATCGTTCTTGTGCGCCGTTTTTATTGATCATTTGAGCATGTTTGCGAGTGCTTCCTGTATCATTAAATTATTACACAACATTTCTGGCTTTCAGTCTGGCTGGTCGGCTGGTCGGCTGGTTGGCCAGTTGATTTCACCACTGGCGACAAGTTGTTGGCCGTAATTGAAATGTGCAATAATTTGTCATCTAATCTAATTGTGGCGCTGCTGCGTTTTGGCACGCGAGCAACCCGGTCCACCTACACTCGCAAAAGTTTTGGGCCCAAAGCTGGGCAATTCACCAAATAAAAAGCGCTTCACCTGATTCTGGGGAGAACAAAGCGGGACTTTACAGAGGGATTTTCTCCAAGTGCACTGGCTATGGCATACATGTTCTATGTTAAATGGTATTGGCGGACTCACTCTTGCAGTGGCCCCGATAGGCGACCTCCAGTTGGGCGTTGTTGGTGCGGCAGGCGCGCTTGCGCAGCTGGCACTCGGTGTTGTAGGTGCGTCCGTCGGTGCCGCAAACCGGATTCGAATGCTGCTGTGGAGTGTCGATGTGGTTAGGATGGAAGCATAGCTAGATGGCAGCAGCCGAGTAGCCGACTGTGCCCCGAGGAGTAGGCAATGGTCAGTGGAGGCAGATGCTTGGTACTTACCGGCGGCAGGGGCGCGTAGATTCCGCCCAAATGAGCCGAGTCATGGGTATTAGCGAGCTCCGATGACGCAGCCATTTCACTTCCGCGTTTCAACTGAGAGATTCGACGATGATTCGATGGCCCAGACCCAGACACAGTGGTATTCGCTGACTCTGCTTCTGTATCCATTGGGTCCTGATGCGGCTGCTGCTGCTGCTGCTGCTGCTGCTGCTGCTTATGCTGCTGCCTTTTCCTCAGCCCATTGTCTGGATTTGGAGCATGCTCGATGCGTCTGGCATGCTGGTGTCTGACTCGAGTCGTCGACTGTCTATTAATGTCGTTGGCGGGTTCATTAGCATTTGCCAAGTTGCCAAGTCTAGACTGAGCCCAGGTTGAGTCTGCGGCAGGCGACTGCGCAGGCGTCTTGTCTGCCGGGAACGAGTCATTGGCTCCTGTCGTCATTGATCTTGTTAAGTGTTTGCCATGGCTGTTTCTGTGTCTGCGCCTCTCATAGCCCGTCATCTCCACCCGGCCGCGTCTGCCACTTGTGGGCTGATCTGGCAAATTGCTGCTGCTGCTGCTGCTGCGGCTGCTGCTGCTGTCTATGATCAAAAGTCTGCGGTGCTTCGACTCGCGAGGCTGCAGCTTTCTTTGGTTATCAGCACGTTGGCGTTGGCCGCCGTCTAAACCTAAATTGAAGTTGGTATTTTCGCTACTTAGACTACGGGACTCGCGGGGCGGCTTCATCTCCTGCTGCTCCTCATCCCACTCCTGCTCCTGCTGCTGCTGCTGCTGCTGCTGCTCCTGCTGATGTGTCCTGCGCCGCAGGGCAGCTCCGCATTCGGGTGCACAAACGCACTTGGGCCGCCCCTTGCGCTTCACGCACTTTTTGTTCGGGCCGCACTTGAAGCCCTTGCAGCTCTCTGCAAAACAGTGAAAGCTCCAAAATAAGTTCTAAAGTAATCAACCCACCCAAATGCACTCACCCATGCAGGGCGAGCACTCCACGCCGCCTCCAATGGCCGTGGCGAAGAAGTACTCCACGCTGCTCAGCTCGCGATCCGTGTAGGAGAAGCTCTGGCTGGAGCCGCAGCACTCCGACCTCGAGATGTCCGTGGAGAAGACCTGTCCGCACTTCCCGCTGCCCAGGTGCGTCTGCCAACAGGTGCCAGCTGGGTAGCCAATTAAATGCGAATACATGAGTATCTAAATATTAAGGCGCTTTTGCCAAAGATGTGCCCGTATTGAAATGAAGTGCAAGCCACTTATATAGGAAACCATATATAGTAATCACAATTACAAAAAATATATAATATATTCACCTATGTACTTGAACCAGTACTCAAAATCGTAAAATGAAATAGCATTCAGGGGAAATATGAGTTGGCACTTTGATAACTTTTAGTTCGCATGAAAAACACAAAAGCCCAAGCTAAAGTGGTGTAAGTGAAAATGGCATTTCCTTCAGCTAACCGGAAGAAAACAGTTGAAGCTCCCCTTTCGCAATGGTCAAATTACGTGCAGGTATTTGACTGGGCAAAACAAAATTATTTGTTTACTTTGAAGATTCAGCAGGAATGCGATGAGCCGGCTGCTAATCGAAATCGCGCGAGCAGTTTGCAAATATCAACATAATGTGGGCTGAGCAAATTTGCGCGGATTTTCCCACTTTTTTCTCCATTTATTTGGTTTCTGTATTATTTTGATCTGCCGCCTGTGCGATCGAATCGATTTGGCAGGGCCAAGCCGATTCTGGGATCTGCTGGATAAACAAACAAGCAGGCAGGGCTGTGAGAAATTGCGTCACATTTGTATATAATGTGACACATTTATCGTCGCGAGTGAACTGGAAATGCGTGGATGAATATATGCACACAGAATGCAGGCGCCGCAACGAGTGAGTCTCACAGACTCAGATGTATCTGAAAGATACCAGCCGAGTGGCTGGCATGCAGCTAACTAACTACTTACCCGCCGCCGGGCGAAAATTCAGTAGCAGCAATCCAATTAACAGAGCCATCAAAGGCTGTCCACCCAACTGATGGCCAGAAGTTGCTGCTGCTCCTGCTGCTGCTGCTGCTGCTGCTGCTGCGGTGCCAGTTGATGCGGCTGCTGCTGCTCTCGTGCAGCGCATGCTTTCTGCGGGACTAGAACTGGCCGTGGGTACGTGGTGCTGGCGAGGTTGTTGTTGCTCACGTGCCATTGACACCTCATCAGAGCCACCGGACGAGGCATTGACGTCACGGCCATGGCCAGAAGAGCGATCTTCATCCTGGCGTAAGCAATTGGCCAGCTCTTGCAAAGCGCTCCATGCGCTTACTATAAATAAACCTAGAATTGTTCTACATTCGCGGCTAGTTGCTCTTGCCAATTTAGTTGCTGTTGCTGCTGCTGCTGCTGCTGCTGACGTCTTTGACATTGTTGCCGCTAATTGGTTGGTGTTTTGGCTTAGATCTGCTCTACGCGCTTCCGCTGGCGTCGTGGTCGTCGCAGGAGGAGCGCGGATGGCCATCGACATCGCTCTGCGCTTGAATTTGTAATTCGATTTTAGAAATGTCAAATTGTTTTGGCTGCTCGTCGGCTGATGCTGATGGTGATGGTGATGATGCGGCATGACAACGGCAACTGCTGCGGATAGACGAAAGGCAAAGGGTTGGCAACGCACTCGAGTAACAGGTAACAGTTAAGAGGCCACAAGGGCTGGAGGTAGCAAAGGCTGGATTCAATTAGACGGAGCACACTGCCACTCCAGCTGGAATGGCGAACGAGCAGCGGGCATGGGATTGAATGCGGCTATGGAGCGGGGGATGGGTATGGGCAAGGGTATGGGGATGGAGCAGCGAGTGGAGTGGCACGCCAAGATACATGATGCAACCGGCGGCAACTGTGGCTGCCACAGTCAAGCACCAAGAATGTTTTCCACAAAAACGACGGCCAAGAGGCAACAATTAAGTCTCAAACGCTGAGTTGACATTGAGCAGGCGGTTTTCAAAATGCGACTACTAAAAATAAAGAACCTGTTGCTGCTGCCGCTGCCGCCGATGTGTTGTAGGTTTGGCGCATTATGCACCGTCTGTCTGGCTTTCTGCACTCGGAGAAGAGTTTAGCGAATAGTTATTCCAAATAAATGTATTCAAGCTGTAAACTAAAGCTTAAAAAGATCATTTCAAACAGAGCGCTCTGAGCAGTTTTTTAACAAAGCGAGGCGTCCTGAAAATGTAATCAACTATGATTTCCAAAAGTGCCAATGTTTTTGTTTGAGTGTAGCTTTACCCCTTTGCAAGCCCCTTTTTTTGCCTGTCTGCCTGTCTGTTTGTTTGTTGGTTTGTTTGTTTGTTTGGCTGCTTGTTTGTGACTTGCAGTTTGGCGCGCTAGTTTGGCATTTGTTTTATTTTGGCTGCCATCGCCATCGCCATCGCCGTCGTCGTCATGACTTTAAGGACGTGCTCAAGACAACATGTGCAACATGCAGACGGAACAGAACAGACTGAACGTGACTGGAGTGTGACTTGGCTGGAGTATCCTAATTTGGCCAACTCGGCGAACGTCCTTGAGGCGGCTGCGCTACCCTATTCAATTAGCCCACTTCAGCTGAGTTGCCCACTGGCAGTCCATTACCGAAAGCTCAGCTCAGCTGCTGTTGCACATGCAGCACAGAAGCCGCAGCAGCAGCGGCAGCAACGCTCCGCTTCCCGCCGGCAATTAATGACCTACTGCGTCTGGGGTTCACGACCATGGTTGCCCGATGGCCAGGTTGCCAGGTTGCCAGTTCGCTGGTCGAAAAATTATGGCGTTAACGTGCGTTGCGACATTTTATATGGCGTTCAGCTGGCTGGCCGGCTGGTCGTACGACTGCAATTTGGTCGACGTCTCCGCATCCGGCGGTTGTCCATTGTCCGGCTGTCCAGTTGGCGCGCCAGACGATGTCTGCACTCACACAGACTCAGGAACAAAAAATAATACAACAAAATGTAAAAAAATTTATAAAAAAAGGAAAATAACACACGCACTTGCCGTGGAGCTGGCGATTGGGGATTGCGGATTGGGCACTGCAGTTGCATTGCAGTTGGAGCTGCAGCTCGGTCTTCGGTTCGAGCTGCATTCCTGCAGCCAGGCTATTTTTAGACCCCGGACAGTCAATGGGTTTTTATAACCTTTGCAGACGGCAGCGCAAATAACTTGGTTACGACAAATGTAACGGGCTAATACTAGCCCACTTGTACACGCTTTTGCCCTCCTGTGCACCGAACGAAAAACCCAAAAACTTGGCCAATTATATGCCCGGAAATTGGAATATGATGCGGCTATATGCTGATTACTTTGCCCCATCTAAGATCCAAATCAACCTACTTCTGACCTCAAAGATAACACATCTTTAGGACTACTTTCACACCTGCACTGTAATGGTACAATAATAGCACTTCATCCAGGATAATGTTTTTTTGTCAGTGCGGTGAAAGTGTTAACTCCACCTGGCCATACCTAGATAATGAGCCGCAGATCTCAGCGGCGATCGCGAATGATCCGCTAAGGACATAACATTCCACTGGCTGGCCGGCGAACCCAGCAGCCTTTACTGTACCCAAAGTTTTCGTATCCAAATGCCTTGGATTCCTGGAGGCACGCTGAAATGTCTTTGGGGCACAGCCACAAACAACAAAAGGGGCAGCAAGAGTACAGGAGCAGCAGCGCGAAAAAATGCAAGGAGCGCCGCAGCAACAACAGGCCACTAAATGCATTCTCCTCGGCAACTGCATTGCCAAACTCAGGGTCCACACACACAAACACACCCGAAGAGGCACACCAATACACTGGCACTGGCAAACAGACAGTCTGGAGCTTTATGTATGTATATATACCACATCCAAGCCATATAGCTATGGCGAATGCCTTCCTCTTCGGGAGATGCAGTTTGACCGTTGGAGACCTGTTTTTATGTTTTTGGGCATTTATTCTGGATTTTCGCAAAAGTGTTTTTGTTTTTTCTGTTTCGTTCAGTTTTTTGTTGTATGCAATTTCGTTTGTATTGAATTGCATCTTCTGCTGCGCTGATCCTGCGCGCCGCCGTATCTGCTGCACTTCAGCAACAAGTGCATAATTTCAACCTCAAGCCCCTGGCTGGCCAAAAAAGTTGCATCAAACGTGGTGCTAAATTTCACTGCGGTTCTCTCAGGTATTCCACCATATCCCACTATATCCCATCCCATCCCACTTGCAACGCCTTCAGTTACTTTTGCGTATTAGATTAGTCGCTCCCAGGGCTCCCAGCCTGGCTTCCAGAAAGTCCCATTGCGTATCATATTATAGGGCGGGCAATGCCAAAAGCACGTGCTGCCATGCCATTGTCCGGCCCAGAAAACCGATCCTCCAGACGGCGGCCCAGAGTAATTTGGAAGAACAGATACAGTTGCCAAACAAACAGAACGCGGAAACAGCGATGCCCTTCTTGAGAATTTTGTAGATTGATATCGGGAGTACACAGGAAGAAATCAATGTGTCTCAAGCGATAATCTTACGCTTAATGTCTATCAAATTAATTACGTTTTTGCTGTGTAAGTTTGGTAGTTGAATATTTTCGGCGTCGAAACTTTCACTTTTGCAGAAGCTACGAGTACTTACGAAATTCTGCCAAAGATCAATTCAATGGATCTGGTACAACCTTTGGGAAGAGTTGGTTTGGATGAGCTGGAATCAAAGTCGGAAGTATCGCCCTGATTTCTCTCCGTGTGGCTTAGTTCTCGCGCCACGTTCGCCTGGACCCGCCATCCAGTCACCGATTGACTTTAAGCTCCATTCAGACCGATTGCGCAATAGCGATCGCGAATGCCAGACCCGGCTCCAAAGCTATTTTTAGCGCGATCCGTTCGGCGGAACCCTGTGGGTCTCGGTCTCCAACTGCATAACTGTCTGTGCTGCGGTGTGTGGCTGGGAAGGCTTTGAAAAAGGGTCAACGTATTCGGTTTCATAAGTAACAAACGGCCCAAATCGAAATCGATGATGAAGGAGGAGCGGAACAGGACGGGGCAGGAGGCGGGAGAGGGTCTTCTAAGGAAACAGTTTGTCATTCGGCAACAACAGGAAATTCCTTTCGGCAAACTCATCAGCCAAAGTAAACTGTGTGTCTCCGTTTTGGCGCGAGATTAATGACACTTGGACACTGGCCCCGCCCCCACTAGCACCGCCGCCCACTTGGGAATTTGCATATGACAGCAGCAGCCGCCGCAGCAGCCGCAGCAGCAGCAGCCCCGTTGTTTGTTATGCAAGCAGTAAATTTTCAATAAATATACATAAGCCAACAAACAAATCACATCAAACCGACAGTGGCTGTATCATCAGCAGCAGAAGCAGCAGCAGCAGCAGCGGCAGCAGCAGCAGCAGCAGCAGCAGCAGCAGCAGCAGCAGCATCGCAAGAGCAGACAGCTGGACTGCCTGCACTGGAAGAAACAACGTGCTGCAAGCGAAGCTAATGCTTATTCGGACGCTCCCTGGCTTTGGTAAAGAAAAGGTAACTAAGTAAATCGATCTAAGTAAATACTTAGAATTTAGTTTTCACATTAAGACGTTCAGAGAGAAGATCCAACAAATATCGAGTGTGTTATTTTTCGCGGTGTGGCATTGTTTTTGTTGCCCTGGGCGGAGGCTCGTCCGATAAACACAGACGTATAGACACTCACTGACCACCGAGATCCGTAGGCTGTGACTGCTAAATGTTTGTTTTGCCAGCGCTCGAATGCCACGCGTTGCACATACGCAGTGTGGGCCGCAAGAAAAAGAAAAATTAAGAAAAGAGCGAGAAAAGGAACGCCTCTTGACACTTGAATCTGTTTGTAGTTGATGCGCTTAGAAGAATCGCTCGACGGCCCATTAGCATTCGCCAGAAATGTCAAAATGTAAACAGGAAATCTGCAGGATGGCCGGTAAAAAAGCGCGCGCGCTCTCCAAGTAATTTGCTTATGCTACGAGTTGTGGACTTTGCGCCACTCATCTTCCGATTCAGAATCCGAATCAGTATCAAAATCTGATACATATTCTGATTCTGGTTCTGAATCTGTTTCTGTTTCTGTTTCTGATTCTGATGCTGTTTCTGATTCTAAGGATGAGAATGAAGCTGCGAGCTGCGAGTCTCAGCAAACCGCAAATAAAAACAAATATCGGCTCACATGAAATCCGAGCTGTTATTGAGTCTTTCGATCGCCTTTTGTTGACAACTATGCAAGAATTTTGTTATTGTCTGAGATGGGCAAATGGTACGTGGAAAAATTTGTCCGCTGCGTCTGGGGTAAATGAAAATGAAACAAAATATCCAGATGATAGCTGTTCGTCTGGAGCGAGGATTTCCTTTGCGAAAGCCTCGCTAAACTTTGCTAATTTGAGTCCTAATTACGAACTCACCTTTTTAACTATGCCTCGTTTTTGTTTTCGAAATCAATTTCGCACTTAGACGTGTTTATTTGCCAATTAATTAGCAGCCAGCATGCAGAGAGTATATATGACACCTTTAGGTATTATAAGAAATCAAGCTTGAAAACCAAAAAAAAAAATAAAAACATTTTCTGCACAAAACGAATAAAATGAAAAGTGGCCGACCGACCGGTGATCGCACTGTTGTCCACACTTATCGCTGAGCTTTCGAATTTCAAGACTTTCAGTCGTCTGCATTTATTTACATTTCCACTATTTTCGTTCCTGTTCTGTTCTGGAACTACGAAACTGGACACAGCACTAGTTTTCACTTGCTACTTCTTTACTGAGGACCAGAGACGTGCGCTCCATCTGATGGTCGAATGCCGACTGAATTTTGAAAACCAAAGTTCTCATTTAGGTAAGAAAAGAGCCAACAGCGCCGCACGGTGGGGCAAGCAGACATACTTTGTGGCATTAATGTGTTGGTTTAAAGCTTCGAGAATGATTGGAGTACCTTATAAATCAAAAATACAAAACTGAAACAAGGCAAGCGCAAAATTGTATATAAAAATACTCACTAAATATCTGTATGGAAATCTAATATTTAGTCCCACTGTGCACAGCGCTGCCGGCTGCTGTGCGGTTGTGTGCGTGAGAGAAAGAGAGCGACATGTAAATTAATAGGAAAATAATAGGAAAATCGCCAAACCTTAGTGATGGTGTCTTTAAATTTAAAAATATGTATGCTCAACTTACAAAAATTACATCACACTTGTTGTACTTTTTTAAATATAAATCCTATAAATATTGTTATATTTCAAACAAATAAAAAATGACGTGCTAGGGTCTACAAACTTAAGAAAGTGAATTTTTTTAGAAAACGTGTTGTATATATAAATATGTTTTTTTTTATTTTTTATCGCCTTAAAAATACAATTTTGTAAATGCAAATATTTTTGCTCTTAAAGAAATACTTGCACAGTGTAATTGTTTGTAATAATTATTTGTAACACTTACAAATTTCCACAAACTATTTATTTTATAATTATATTTAGAACATTTTAGGCATTTCATAAAAGTTCTTCAGTGCTGCATGAGGGCTTTTCATCGCTGCGACGTGCTGCGCAACTTTTGTGCTTGCGACCGCAACATGTTGCAGTTGGATTTGTTTAAAGCGAGCTCTGAGGAATTTCTAAAAAATAATCTTGCAATCAGTTAACAATTTGGATTTCCAATCAAAGCAGAGCAATTCCTTATCATTAAATCGTTCTTGTCATCATGGGAAATTATCAGAGCATTTTGTTATCGTTTCCGCTTTACTACAAGTTGAAGTATGGTAATAAGCCAAACTTCTTGATTTCTAACGAGCTAATTTGTTCTTCAAAATATAATTTATGAAGCTTTTCTACAAACATTCCGTAGTTGCTGAGACGTTTTGCTATACTAACGAACTGACGTCCAACTGCAACTGCCACAGCAGGAGCAAAGGCTTAGAGCTCATTAAATGCAGCGAAATCATGCCTTGGCTATATAGAAAACATATCTTAAGCTGCGGCCTTAACTGTCTATTGTTTAGCCAGAGCAAAGCGGCAGTCATGAGGCAGCTGAGGAAAACGATTTCTTTATGGTGCAAACAGCGTCATAATTTAGATCTAATTGTCAGATACTTGCTGCCAGCCAGAAACCGCCACAAAACTGCATGTCGCTGGGCCCAGCACAGCAGCCCCGTGGAAACGTGGAACCGTGGAATTGTGGCACTGAAGCACTGAAAATGAAGACATTTGACGAGGTAGCCGCCGAGGAGCACTGGCTATTTGGACAGCCAGACCAGGCGGAGGAGCAGTAGCACCAGTCGGATTTTTGCGTCAATTACGGCGCGAAGCGTTTTATTGGGCAATGGCGTGCTGGGCGCGTATTAAGCCCGCTCGCTGATAGTGGCCACCATTATCCATCTCCACCTTCGCCATTCGCCTTTCCTTTCCCCATCACATCACTCCACTCCACTGCACTTCCCCTTCCCTCCCGGCCCCTACCTGCCCCCTTCTTCCCCTCCTGCCAAAGTGCCCACCTTAACCCACTAATGATGGCCAGAACGGATACAGATGCATGCGGCGGCCACATCGCCGGCTATTTATTGAAAGTGCATCTAATGAGACATTGGCATTGCTTGCCACAATTTGAGGCGAGCGCATCGGGCTTGATATGTGCCATTCACCCTTTCAATGGGTACTAAAGAATGCCCTTCATTTGAAAATGGATAAATCTTGATAAAACACTATCAATAGAGTACAATTAAATTTACGTTATCAGACACTTTATAATTCTTCCATTTCGTATATTTTAAGTTGACTTGCCGCTTCTTTAAAAGGGTTCATAATGTTTGTAAGGAATTTATAATTAAATATTTACTATTATAATTTGTGAATCCTAACTACAAGTATCTTTTCAGCTTGAAAAGATTCTGAACATTCACAATCGGGAACAAGCTGTACGTATTTCTTCCAAAACCAAGAGATATACTTGGACACAATTGCCATGAAATCCGATTTTATGAATGAAATTTTGCCAATACATATTTATACGCTTGTTTCAGCTTCCGCCTGTCGGAATAAATCAAATGTCTAGAGCACATCAAAGCGCGATGTGTGACATTTGAACTGCCGGCGGAAATGAACGAATGGCCTGCGAAATAATTTGCCTATAAATACATCGATTTCCCCCTCGAACGGAGGAAGTCCATGCGACATCGCTGCGTATGAGTAATATTGCAAGGTTAGCCTATCGCTGACATTTCTCACGATAATTAGTACTGCCCAGTGGCCATTGTGCGGTGGGCGGTGGGCAGTGGGCAGTGGGCAGTGACCAGTGGGCGTTGGGCGGTGGGCTGTGGGCGGTGGACTAACAGGTGATGAAAGGTGCTCGGCGCAGTTGGGCGTGGGCAGCTTAAGTGACGGCAATTTGCGGTGCCTCAAGGATATTCGATGACAAAAAGAAATTGCTTTGTATTAAGCCGTCTGCCAGTGTCTAGACTGATTTCCACAGCACACATGCCTATCCATATACGAGGAGCATGTGCATGCGGAGGGGCTGTGGAGGGGCAAGCGGATCTGTGTGTAATAGTCCGCTTAGGCTTGCCATGCTGTCGGCACTTTACATCAAAGTAAAGCCATTGCAATTGGCTAGACAGCGCCTTATAATCCTCTGCCGTTAGTCGGCTGTGTGTTCCGCTCTGTTCGGAACTCGATTCATACGCACTTGCTCGGGAATTTGCTGCGGTTTGGTAATGGATAGTGCTGACCAGCTGAAGCTCGCCCAATTGGCCCATGCATGATTAATTGAGTTTGGCAGGAAAATCTTCGTCCAAGTATCTTGGTCCGAGCTAAGGCTTGTGATTCCTCGCCGGGCATCATTTCCGGTCGCATTCACCCACATATTTTGTTCATAATTCGTTTTCCCTTTAAGTACGTGCTGCCTCTTGAATAGTTTAGTGCTTTTGTTTATTGCTTATTGCTGATTCACAGAATTTTGCCATAAAACGGCCATGTAATAGGTTTACATGAGCGGGATAAGGGAAATCATTACTAGTCTCATCAAATATCCAATCAGACAATGCAAAAAAAACATGTACATTTTGTTCTTTATTTATTGAATTAATGTACATAATTTACATGTTCATGCTAAATAAAATTTCTAAATATAGGGAAAATAAATAATTTATTTTCTTTTTATATATCATATCTTTAAATTATCTTTTTAAATTCCGATAACAATTAAAAGCCGTTACTAAGATCGAAAATGTATGCATGGTATTTTACATATACATCATACATACATCATACATTTGCTGGCGCCCTCTAGCTATCTGGCAACGCCGTAAATCTGGTAGCGCTGTGAAACGTGTATTTAAACATTAGCGCAAAAAATATGTGAGATGTTTAATAGACCTACTTTTCTACGTGGGTAAAATTTAATAATACTGCAAAGAATCCTAAAAACAGCTTGGTACCACAGCTTTTTCCCCTACCGATAAGATATTTCGGATATATACTGGAAATATAAAGATAGATTTAAATATTTTAAAATGGCATAGAATATCAAATAATGTTATATCCCCAGAATTATTTTGTACACTAAAGCATATTGCAATAAAGACGTATATAAATACAACGAAAGGTGGCATGGACTTTAAACCTAATTATGTAAAAACCATAAAGGAGTAAATCTTTGCTGGGAGTTTGAAATATGTGCGGTGGCTTTGCATTCATAAATCCTAACAAAAACCCAGGCAGCAGCTGCAACCGCAGCTAATCACGTTCCAGAGACGCGGATCGTAGCCGGTCATGACTCGAATTTTGATTAGGTTGGAACTCGGTGTTCTGGGCAGGCGACGACAGCCACTCGTTGTTTTTATGTGATGTGTAAGGAGCATTTAACAGATAGTCTGATTATTTTATGACGACAACGTGCCGGGCGCAGCGAGCGACTGCCAATGGCGACACTAAAGATGACAATTACAACTGCCGATCTTGCGGATCGGAATGGCTCATTTGGAGTGACATTGTGGGATTCGAAATACGAGATTGCTTTTCGGTTAGCCCTGAGCCAAAAACAAAGGAAAGCCATCAAAGCGGTTCAATTAGATGCCATAGGGTAACTCCCAGTTGGTGAAGTGCCTCCAAAAATCTCACATTACACACTTGACATACATTCGGTTGGGCATTCGAGAAGAAATGGAGATAGAGCCCGAGATACAAGTACATTACCAACCGGAAGGAAAGCAGAATGATATTGCTTTATGACTCGATCGAAAGCGAAAGTGTTCACTGGTTTTACTGCTGTCTTTTTTCGCATGAAAGCCTGAATTATGTGGGCGTCGTTTGCCACTCCATCGGCCTCCGATATTTAGGCCAGCAGATCAATTACGGACTGGCATTTTTATGACACCTATTCAACCTGTCGCCGGCGCTCGACATTTTCGAAAGGGTTGGCTGCTCATTAGTTTTACGACTGTCTCTTTGGCGTGCAATAATTTCCGCGCTTCCCTCGAAGGATCTATTTCCATAGCCACTAATGTGCAGTAAGTTCATACCCTGTGCTGCCTGGAAATATTGTTTTCCTGAGCACAAACAAACCCCTCCACCATTTTAAATGTATGTACATTGGTGACGTCATAGGAAGGTGAACACCTGCATTGATTCACGGACGTGTTCAGTTTTTTTACACTTCCTTTTGACATTTATGCCTGCCCAGAAAGTCCAAATAAGGCGCCGCAAGCTCACGTCGCCGATTCGGTAAATATCCCCGGCCACTGGGAAAAACTCGGGGAAAAACTGGGAAAAACTCCAATTATAAGTAATACCTAATGGACAGGAATTTCTAGCATTACAACTAAAATTACACAGTAGTGCTTTACTTTATTTTACGATTATATATATTTTGAGTATTAACCAGCTCTTTTTCTGAGTGCAGTTAGCACCGGCACCGCTGTTGTTGCCGACTTTGTGACTCCGCTGCAACTCTATAATCACAACCCGCTGATAAATGCCTGCCGCTCACAATAGTCACAAACTTCCGCCAAGTGTAACGATAGCTTGGAACTGGTAGTTCTGGCACACGGCTCCATTTCAAGGGCAGCTCCCCCATTTGATGCACATTATAGACCCGGAACAGTTCAATTTGCACCCTGTATCGTGCTGTTGCTGCCGCCACTGGCTGCATCTGGTGACTGGGATGTGCGCCATAAATAGCTGCCCCCGATAGCGGAGGATGGGGGGTCATGAACTTCAATTATGTGCCTGGCCGTGGGGCGTGGCTCCTCCCCCATCTGCAGTTGCTGCCGTTTTGCCGCTGCTGTTGCAGCAATCGCTGTTGCTGCCTTTGCTGCCTTTGCTGCTGGCGTGCAGTAACACATAATTGCTGTCAAATCGCCTGGCGGGCGCTTAATTGCGCATTTCAATAGCTGGCAGGTCGGAAAAACACTTGCTATACGGCGTTGGAAAACCGAATTAGCCGCCCTTTTGAACTTCTTGTGTTTACTCAAGTTTCTGGCAAACACACGATTTTGGATCTTTTAAAGAGAATTTTATTTATGATCGAATTGGGCGCATTCGACGACTTGTGAATTGAGTTTTATGGCGCGTAATCGGCTCTGGTAGTTCCGCTTATCGGGCGAAACGACTTGGCAGACCTCAGACCCCACTTTTGCTTTATTAGTTTTTATTGTTTTACATTGACTTGATAAAAGCCGGGCTGTGCCTGCGTTGAAAATGAAAATCAATTACTGGCCGCACAAGCAGGCAGCGATCTAAGCGCTGCTTTCCCACTTATCAGCTTGAGACGACAGATAGCTGGAGGCACAGTCAACTGCAGTACTCCCCCTGCCGATCTAATTGAACCCCTGAACCATGGAACCACTGAACCACCGAACCACTCAATTTCATGTCACCGGATCGTAAAGTTAATCAATTGTGGTCACCACCACCCAACCTACCCCAACGCGGTGCATATACTTCACTTATTCGAGTGTCCATATTTGCCCTGGGGACCGCTGATAAGCGAGTTGATCGCCGTGCAAACATTCCTCGGCAGCCAAGTTCAATGACAGCACTGCGCTGCTCGATTCGGGTGGCCATTTGCCTGGGAATCGTGATCCGCATCCTTTATGTCCGCCATATGCTCTCCGTTTCCACTGCCACTCATCCACATCCCAAAAGGGATCACTCGCAGAAAAAATGTTAAAATCAATATGTTGATTTTTCAAAATTCATCTTGCAAGTGAGATGACACATCATGAGAAGTATAAGTAGAAATATATGAAATAAAGCAGAGATAATTCCCACACTATGAAGTGCATAAATGCTTGAATCATTTGATTCTCTCAGTGCGCAGATCTCGATAAGCCTTAAACATTGTAAATATTAATTAAAACAAAATCTACGAGATGATGAGGAACAAATAGGCTGGCCTGTTTCCATATGAAGTCGGGGCTTCCTTCAATACGTATTAATAAGAAAATACGGCTCCCAGTTGGAACGCCATGGTGACAGGCGTTCGGTATTTACCGACTTATTTGTACCCTCGCACTTGGGCGTGCACTTGTGTGTGTGCGCGCTTGTGTGTGCGTGTGTGTGCGTGTCTGTGCAGCAGTCGCGTAGGGGAGTGAAATGCAAGAAGCGTTGCGAACAAGGAGAGCCACCACCACAAATGGTCGCAGGCGAGTTGAAGATGCACTGAAAAAACCGTGTGCTAGCTATCCCCAAATTCAAATATAACGTACTAATAAACTAATTCCGGTATTTACATAGTTCTTATAGCAGTATTTCAGATACTTTGATAATTTGCATATATTATTTAAAGTTTTTGCTGCTAGCTTTGTAAAAAACAAATTATAAGGAACTTAACATTTTTTTGAACCCCAATATCGATGAGCACCGAAATCGCAGCTCAACATGTGCACACACAGATACACACCCAACAGCAGGTCGCAACCTCTCTTTCGACAATCATGTGAGGTGGCTACAACGGGCAGCGGATTCGCGGTCGTCCAAGTTGTTGCAGCACTCGAATTCATTTCATTTCGGTTCGGGTCGTCGAAGAGTGTAAACGTCCAGCCCTGATCTGTTGCCCCGTTTATGGACTAGCGTCGCGGAAATAAAACACCACATATTCCATAGGCTGTTGGCTATATGCTATATGCTATACAGTATATGCTGTATGCTATATGCTGTACGCTATATGCTGTATGCTATATGCTATTTGCTAGACAGCAGTGCAGAGATACGGCGATCCAGTAGTGCGATTAGCAACGACTTGTCGCCGGCAAAAGCGAGAAGAGGCAAACAAGTTTGCCTCGATTTCGAACACCTAGATCTCGCGAGAGCAATCCGAAAGCCGGCCGGGCTTAATAAAATTAATATAATTTCGAGTGAGCGTCGCCATGCAACGGCGTTCTCGAGTGTGAGTGCTTCAATTAAATTCAATAAATCATAAATAAGTGAGTGCCAACGGATCCTGTTTTAGTGGTGTGGCTCTCCGGCGCAATTGTGATTTATTGCCCTTCGAGGAGCCGGGTTCCATTCAAGTGAAATTACCAAATTAAGAAATTACCAAATTACGAAATTTCGAAATTGCGACTGCGAATGCGAAAACTTCATGTTGATGACTTCCAATGAATGTTGAATCGACAATGTTCCGCCTCATATTCCTCGCCCTCTTGGCTCTGATCCCTCACACCGAAGCATTCAATTTTATGCCGCGACCCAGTAGGGTGATAAACTCCCCGAAGCATCTGAAGTTCCACATAAACCAGACGCGCAGCTCGTACTTTGGATACACGCTCGTCATCCGCTCGACCAGGTGAGTTATCCATTTCCCAGCTGCAGATCTCTGTAAATATTTGCATACACGTACATATGTACATGTAGCGTGCGTCTGGATGGTAATCCATACCGCTGCCGATAAGCGACATACATGTTTCTTATGGTTGACGCAAAGTTCGAGGCTAACACACCTCTGTCAATATTTTGAAACTTCTGGCACACGGAAATGGAAACTGAAGCTAGCGAAGGGGGATCGACAGAAGTCGCGGCCTGACAAAATTAGTATTGCCTTTGGGTGGTTTATTGGCACTTAACACTCCGTCGCCCTATTTGCCAAGAAATTAAAAAGTCATTTTCGCCCAGTCGTAAATGGGTGCTCAGCATATGAGGATTGCTTGAGATTCGGGACAGAACTCTCACGGCACGTTGAAAAGCCCAGCTTGAAAACCTCTCGAAAACAATACCATTTCAGACCGAATTTTCTAAAAATAACAAGTAAGAAGAAAAACTGGCCACTTCAACTCCAATTGCCACAGATACGAGAGATCGCAACTCCGTCTCGAACAATTGACAAACCCGAACACTTTTCAGTGAGCCGGGCGACCTACATATCATATGATATGTAGACCCGATGGCGGCTACTTTTGCCGGAGTGCGGGCCCCAAAAATGACATCACACACCTCAGTCGGCGCCACAAATCACAGTTAATTGAATAAGAAGAAAGTGCTCAGATCGAAGCGCAGATACGCTTCCCGAGATATGTACTCTTTCAAGGGGAGATGGCAGCTCATGCTTTGTAATTTATGTTAGCGTACTTGAAGTGAAGTATTTGCCAAAATCCAGGCCGCAGCTTAGATACAAGTACTACTTGGCCAGCACAACCTTATCTGGTTTTAATTGAGGCGATCAGTAAACCTGGTTAGAATGCAGTACTCGTACGCGATCATAACGAGCTAGCTCTTGACCATATTTTATTTCCATAAACCTGGATGGGTAATTTGGAACTTCCTCTACAGTTCCCGCCCCTGCCAACCCTGCCGTCCGTTCTTTTTTATTACCAGCACTTTGGAGGCCAAAATACCCATGACTCTTGGCTATTACGAAGTGCGCCTAATTATGTACGGAAATTGCGCGTAAAATCACGACAAGCCGTAATTTATATCGCATCAATTGAAGTTGGCTGAAACAAACAAAAAGTGCAGATCCTATTTACGGTCTCCTTGTGAAATGAGGGCTGCATTCGAAGTGCATCCACTCACTGTTTCCCAACACCACTTGCATTCTGGCGAAATGAGTCACAAATGTTTCCAATCCGATTTGGAGGCGATGGCGTCTGCAGAGCTGCCCCCATCCGCATCCGCATCCCCATCCCCATCCGCGCCCCCGAAGAGTTCGCCTGTTCAGCTGACACCACACACAAATATTTTTAGCCGTCTTACGCTGGGTCATTAAACCGAATTCCTTATAACAAAAACAAAAGACTGAAGACTGAAGACTCCACAACGGAAAACGGTGCAGTATGGTGGCTTTTGTTCTTAACATTTGATGACCGCACGCTGCAGCGTTTCTTTGTTTTTGTTTGGCTGATGGAGATGGCGCTGGAGATTTGTGTGGTCCGCAACTTGGCTTATTGTCCGCACACAAAAATAGATAAACGTTCCTTGTTCGGCATTTAAACAAAGCGCCATCGCCCTATACTGCACTTCGCCAGTCCAAAAGGCACTCTTACAATCGAAACTATAGCTGTTTTGCATATTAAGAAATGTAATTGACTCTAGTTAAGATACGCTGTGTTTAAAAGATATTTATAAAGATAGATAAAAACTCTATATATTTCTAGATTTTTACATTTTGAAAATCTGTCTAGGATCCTTTGATTAAGCTATAATATAAAGGTGACTTTTATTCTGATAAATTGGAGGCGGAGGAGGATATAATATTATATTCAAGATAAAAGTATAATACAATATCTCAATTCAATCAAGTTTCCTACGCTTTTCGTGGCTAACCTCTGCTTCCACCGAAATGAACACCACTGTACTGATTCACAAAGGCCATGGCAAGAAGTTGGGGCTTGGGGGCAGATGCGTGTGCAGACATGGTTTACTCGGTCATGACTCATGTTTTGGGGAAATACGTAAGCGACAACCCGTACTTTGTGTTGCAGCTGAGATACGCCGAACTTTCAGTCCAAAACAAATGTTGGCTGACTGTTTTTTGGGACCCACTCCCCTCCGTTTAACTTTCAGCATAAACAATTTCTGGATCTGGTGGTCAATCGCCTATTCAAATATGTTGACTCTTTTCTTGAGACTGTGGATTTTTTATGCATTCAATTAAACTCAAACTGTTGGAATGGGGATGCAGTGCGGATCGAGTTACGCCAGAAATCAGGCCGGATAAAACCATCCCGGTGACTCATCCGACTGACTAAGCCACTGATTCAGACCGTGGAAAACTTGCATGGATAACACAAGAACCAAGAAGTCAGTCGAGATGAAAATGGGGCTGGAGAATTATGAAATTGAAATGTAGTAGTTGGGATTTATTTACATTAGATGCTTGGTTTTGCCACGCTCTTCTTTATCTTGCCGATAACAGAGGTGTTGATTTAACCAGAAAATCGAATCTAAATAGTAACCTCATATCCTGCGAATGGCGTTTGAAATCTCGTTGGCGTTGAAAAATTAAAAACATCTATGGTCGAAGATTAGATAAAAATGCAACTCCCACAGAACTAATTAAAACAGCTGAATAGAATCAAATAAGTCCATCCATATTCGAACGCACTGCTATAGATTGCAGACTTTTGATAGTGAGATAGCCGCATGCTCGGACTTGAAAAATAAACTCTTTTATGGTGCAGACATACCACCTTATATTTTTGTGACCATATTTTCTCTATGAGTCAGCTGCTCAAGAAAACAAACAGCTCCTTATAATGCAGGGTAGCATATATGTATGAAAAGCCAAAATATGATATTGAAGATGTTACTCAGACACTCCCACGAGAGCGGAGCGCCAACGGTATCGCGAGTACGGCGAGTAAGCCTGGCCAAAAAAGCAGCGCTCTCTCACCTTTGGAAAACAAAAATTCGAGTAACACGAGCGTAACCGTAACCCGTTTTCCCCACCGCGCCCGCTATCAACGCCGAGTGTTGAGGTCTCTGGAAGAGTGGAACTCAGTTAGTAGCCAATAGACCGTCGATCGGAACGGCAGCAATTCAATCCGGCGGCGGATTTCTGCATCGCGGGCGCTAAAGCGAAAGTGATAAAACATCGAAGTGCAGATAGCGGAGGTGACAAGCGCGTGGCGTAGCATTAATCTGTTGAGTAATCGTGGTCTGCAAAGCTGCCGCAATGGTGGGGCAAGGTCGCGACATCTGTGTGCTGCTGGTGATGGGGCTGTGTTGCCTGTCCAGCTATTGCAATGCATTTAACCTATCGCCACTGCCCAACCGGCAGATATTGGATCCCCAGTTCGCCACCAGTCTGCCCAAAGTGCGTGCGTCATACTTCGGATTCACGATGAGCCTGCGACCCAATGGGTAAGACTCCCATATACCAGCTCCCGCATCTTCGTCTTACCCACTCCCTGCGTGGAGTAAACAGGTTGTGCGATGATGATTCACCGGCGGGTGCCAATCGAATGTAGCTGTAAAACTGAATGAACTTTTTTGAAAACGCTCAGTGGAAGAAAACAAAATAAGTGTCATGAAAAGAAATTCCGTACATTAATGCCTTGTGCAAACGATGAAGTCATATTCTTAATATCAATTATCTGCCATGCCGGGGAGGTGTAGTTGAGCATATACGTACATATGTAGCATATGTATGCACACAAAGCACAGAGTATGTGGCTTTACGGAGATATCAAGTTATTCTGTAGTTACTCCGGGCGAAACGTTGTGCAAATATCTGCAACGCTGCACGTCCGAACCTTTGTTGACTCAATAAGTCAGCTTTTCAGGGCGGAGTTCGGCTATATGTCTAAAGCGCTTAGATTCGTCAATGCCAATTTGTTATCAGCCAACGCTGACACCTTCGCATTTACCGATTTTCGATAAGATTGCCGAACTCACAGTGAAATTCCGCTAAGGCTGCCACAACGCTGATGAGCGAACGTCCAATATTAGTTGTATAGAAAATATGCTGCAGAGATTACGACTTCGGTTTGATTCGTTTGTTCACATCTTATCGAACTTACGTCGGCAGTCAACTATATATATGTATATGCAGGTTCTGGGGAAAAGTCGACTAATAACCGACAAAACCAATTGTATTCCATGTCTGACTAATACGATGCAAAGAGAGAAAAACAGTTTTCTTTACAATGTATATATGCTATATATATGTGTAATATCTGGGCTAAAAGTGATTAATGCCAGCGATTGATGACTATGTCCAGCTGACACCTCATATATTGGCCCGAAAATATTAAGTATCAATACATATATAAGACAATATATAAGAAATAGAACGAATCTTTATATAAGCGAGATAAAATCCATTGCTAGTTGATAGAAACGAAAGCAAAATACGACAATTAATTTATTTCTTGCCCTTATTGCAGCATCATTGTGGGAGCCCCTAGAGCTCAGTCCACCTTGGAGTCGCAACGAACCATTAACGAAACGGGGGCGATCTACAGATGCTCCCTGACCAGCGGTGTCTGCAATCCGTATGTCCTGGATCCGCTCGGCAATGTTGATGCGCCCTACAATGAGTACACATTGGATTCAACACGCAAGGACTTTCAGTGGCTGGGCGGATCGATGGACGGCGGCACTAAGGACACGGACAAGCTCCTCGTGTGTGCACCTCGGTTATACGCGCCCAGCCCCCAGGACAACCATCTGCATGGAGTCTGCTACTGGGTGAACAATACGCTGGCCAGCACTCCGCAGCACGTTACCCGCATCTCGCCACTCCGCCTGAAAACAGATCAGGTGAGGACAGACAACAACGACAACACGCAAAGCTTCTTCTACGTGATGGGTGAACTGGGACTGAGCGCCCATGTGGCGGACGATAATTCCAAGTTCCTAATTGGAGCCCCAGGCATCGATACGTGGATGGGATCGGTGATTCTGTACCGGCAAGTGGATCCAGTAGGCCTTCCCCCCGCCAGCAGACGTGACACGAGCAAGGCGCTCCGACGAACCATCCGCGATGTGGACTCCATCGAGTATACGCCGGAACACTATTCACCGGAGGTACCCAACCCTGCGCTTTGGAACCAGGAGGAAGGCTCTTACTTCGGCTATGCCGTGAGCTCTGGCTTCTTCGACAGCTCCAATCCGACCACGCTCCTCTATGTGGCCACCGCTCCCCAAGCCAACAAACAGTCCGGTGAGGCGTACATCTTCGATGTCCGGGGCAAGAGGATACATAAGTACCACGTGTTTCGAGGGGAGCAGTTTGGCGAATACTTCGGGTACTCCGTTCTGGCGGAAGATCTCAATGGAGACGGAAAACCTGACGTCATTGTATCAGCGCCACAGCACACCCTGGAGAATTCCCACGACAACGGCGCGATCTACGTGTTCATCAACAAAGGCTTTGTGAGTCAGGAGGTTTCGGGAACCAAGAAAACATCAGTCATCAATAATGTTTTCTTATCACTACAGTTCAACTTTGAGCGGCAGATTTTGCGTTCGCCAGTGGAGACCAAGGCGCGTTTCGGCACTACTCTATCTCGTCTTGGAGATATTAATCACGATGGCTATAATGGTCAGTATCATTGATGATATGATGATATGATGATAGATTCATTGATGTATTATGAATATCAAATATTACTTTCCCATTTTACAGATGTTGCAGTTGGAGCTCCCTTTGCTGGAAATGGATCGGTGTTCATCTACCTGGGCAGCGAAAATGGATTGCGGGATCAGCCGAGTCAGCGGCTGAACGCTCCCTCCCAGCAAGCCTCCAAGTACGGATCGCACATGTTCGGCCACGGGCTGTCCCGCGGCTCCGACATAGATGGCAACGGATTCAACGACTTCGCCATTGGAGCTCCAAATGCGGAGGCGGTGTACCTGTATCGCGCCTATCCAGTCGTAAAGGTGCACGCCACAGTAAAATCTGAGTCCCGAGAAATCAAACCCGAGCAGGAGAAGGTGAAGATCACCGCCTGCTACATGCTGAGTACAGCTTCCAACGCCAAGGAGGTACAGCAACAGGAACTGGCCATCCGCATCGTCGTAGACAAGCAGCTGAAGCGGGTTAAGTTCACCCAGACGCAGACCAATGAGATGAGCTTCAAGGTGAATGCGGGTCTGGGCGAGCAGTGCCGCGTCTTCGAGACTCAGGTGGGCTACAGCGAGAAGGACATATTCACTCCCATCGATCTGGAGATGCACTACGAGCTGACCAAGAAGGTTCCCGATTCGGAGGGTAAGTGCGATCTACTTCATCTGTTTGATCTATTAGGTCTGTAATGCATTTATTTTGGACAGAATTCTGCGAAACGTGTGCGGTCGTCGATCCAATGGAACCAAAGGTTTCCACACAGAAGATAATCTTTAGCACGGGCTGTGCCACCAATATTTGCACTGCAGATCTGCAGTTGAGGAGCAAGAATGTGAGGTATGTCAATGACCATTTGATAGAGATCTTTAGCACATCTCTGCACGTATTGCATCACAATTATACTCGTAAGCACCCCAATTTACATCATACCTTTGACTTATAAAGCGTTCCATTTTCGTTTCCACAGCCCCACTTACATTTTGGGCAGTGCCGATACACTGCGCCTGAACTACGAGATCACAAACGTCGGCGAGACCGCCTACCTGCCCCAATTCAACGTGACCTGCACTTCACGCCTGGCTTTCGCCCAGGTGCCTGGAAACTGCAAGGTGGCCGATGCGGTCATGGTGTGCGACTTAAACCACGGACGACCCCTGGCCAAAGGTGACACCGACTCCCTGACCATCAGCTTCGACGTGAGCCAACTCAGCGGACAGTCGCTGATCATCCATGCGGAGGTATTTAGTACGGGATACGAGAAGAATCCCACGGACAATAAGCAGACCAACGTGATCGGTCTGAAGGAGTTCACACAAATCGATGCCACCGGGTGAGCAGCAATAAAGCATTGGAAACTAATTTATAACTGACTAAGATCCGCTTGCACTTTTCAGTGGCCAAATGAACAGTCAAATCGATTTGGAGCACTACAGTAATTCCGCGGAAATTGTCAACAACTACGAAATCAAGAGCAATGGGCCCAGTATAATCGAGCAGTTGACGGTGTCCTTTTACATACCCCTTGCCTATAAGGTGGCTGGCTCAACTGCCATTATACCGATCATCAATATGACCAGCCTGAAGATGCAGGCCTCCTACGACTCCCAGCTGTTGGGCATCGATCTGTACGACCAGAACAATACGCTGATCGTTGTGGACCCCGTTGAGGTGGTCACCATGCTGAGTGAAGGCTTGGAGCGGACCGTGGTCACCCAGAACAGACAGAGCTACGACATCCACAGCAGTGGGCATGTGCACCAGACCATGGAGGTACTCGATACCAATATGGTGGCCACAGCTTCCATGTCCCGAAAGCGACGGGATCTCAAGGCTTTGACCGCCAACCGGGAGCAATATGCTCGCATCTCGAATGTCAAGGCACACGATCTGCTGAGCGAAGACTTTAAGGGTAAGCTGCCCGTGAATCGCACCATTGTGTTTAACTGTCGGGATCCCGAAATGACCATCTGTGTCCGAGCCGAGATGCGAGTGCACTTCAGGCCAGAAAAATCCATTTACCTGAACATGCGCTTCAGAGTGGATCTGAATGAAGTGAACGCCATATTAATGGATCCCTGGGAGTACTTTGTTATCCTGACCGACCTGAATATGCAGAAGAAGGGCGATCCCAGCTCTACTTCATTTTCGATCAATCGAAAAATCGAACCGAATATTATATCCAAGCATCTGGAGGCGGGACTACCCATCTGGATCATTATTGTGTCCGTAATCGGTGGCCTGCTGCTGCTCTCTGCGATAAGTTATTTGCTTTACAAGGTTCGTATTTGGCTAATAATACACCCAAGCCATTATGTCTAACCTAAAAATATCTCTCCACTAGATGGGCTTCTTCAATCGAGCCAAGAAGGACGAGCTGGACAGGCTGGTGCAACAGAATCCCGCCGAGCCGGAGGCGGAGAACCTCAACAGCGGCGGAAACAACTAAATTTTGCCCCGCGATTTCCTAGCCGCACACATCACATTCAACATGGATGGATCCAGTTACCAAATCCTATTTCCACAAAGCGAAGACTATCCACTAAATGTGTTCTCATTTAAGAAAGGAACGAAAGCAGCAGGAGATCATTTCGAACTGCAGGACATTCAATGTTCCTCTTGGTTTGAACTATAGTGGCAGCAGAAAAGTGCTTTTAGTTTTTAGATTACCTCTAATTTATATGAGAGTTCCATGTGTGCTGTACCAGCCACATTGCCATTTGTTGTATATATTTATTAAACATTTTTATACCCGTTACTAGGATGTTATGCAATATGTTACTAGAATATTATGCAGCAGATAATAGCAGGCGCTTCCGCTGTTCTTGATCAGGATTACTTCCAGAGTCCAGTCTGTTGGTCCGCAGGAGCAGCGAATTCACGCCCACACTTTTTAATATGTAGAATTTTAAAATGACATCATAGGTATGACGAAGCTAGATAAGGTATCGCTTAACCTGTCGCCATTTATAAATAAATGCACACTTATTTAAAGCATTTTTAGATGAGTAACGGGTATCTGAAAGTCGAGACACTCGATTTTAACAGTCCCCTTGTTAATAAATGATAATTGTAATAAATTTGTAAAGGTAGTTTTACAGGGCGACGTGAAAGACTTTATTAATGTATAAATTGTAAAGTATTCCTGTATTATATTAGAGTATTAAAACGAGGAAGAATAAATAAATAAATAAATAAAAAACTTTCTGAGATTATTTCTGCATGTGTCATTTATGTCTAAACTTAAAACATTTTAAAATAAAATTTTAAAACATTAAAAAATGTTTTCTATTTATTTTCTTAATCTTCTTTTTAAAATTTATTATGACTATTGCATTGTCTTTGTTGCATAAGTAGTGAACTCCAGATTTTGTTTTCAAAAACATTTCGGAATGACAAAAAAATAATCACATCAGCGACTGTTTTTATAAGTTGGAGTCATTTGACTCCATTTCGTTTCATTTAAATTCGAATGCTCAAAGAGCTCGGGCGCAGGACTTTAAATATTTTGTTGCTTTAAATAAATTAATTTATATTGTTCTATATGTCTGTTTACTGAAAAACTTTCCTTCATTTTATTTGAAATGTATTGGCTCCTTGTTATTGTGTTGTTGGCCCTTCATTCCCAAATCAATGCATATAATATTGCGCCGCATCCCAATTTAAGAATTAAACGTGAACTTAAATATGAAGAACAGGAGCGCAGCTCCTATTTCGGATTTTCCTTAGTCATCCGAGGGAAAAGGTGAGTTAAAGATCAAAAGGCGGCCATTGTAATGAATACCTCAAAATTAATACGGGCTATAGAAGCAAAGTTGATCAAAGCTGTTGATTGCATTAAAAGAAGTTACACTTGAATTCAGTTGGAGAAGATTTCAGTGCCACCTCTTATTGATTTTGACCAATATTTTTGATATTATTGATCAAGAAATTCAAAGTATTTCTTTATTCATTATAAATATTCTGTATAAATTGAATTCGGTTTCGAGTTCATTTGATGATTAGTTAAAAACTATATTATTCATATGTTGTATTCATATAATATATATTATTTGACGCAAAGAGATTACAGATTCCCGAATAATGATGTATAATTAATTAGTAATGATGTATAAATTTCACAAACAAATATCTCCGTTTTCACAAAATCACAGTATTATGGTCGCAGCTCCGCGTGCCAATTCCAGTTTAGAGGCTCAGCGAGGCATCTTGGAGCCTGGAGTGATCTTCAGATGCAGCCTTGAAACCAGTAACTGTTCGTCTTATGACATAGATCCCAATGGCAACAAGGACGCCGAGCCCAATGATGGTCTGCTTGAGGCGAAAGGCAAGGATTTCCAGTGGATGGGCGGCGCGATGGACGGTGGCACCAAGGACTCGGATAAGTTTGTCGTGTGCGCCCCGCGTTTTTACAGTCCGAATAAGGGGATGCTCTATATGAATGGGATGTGCTATTTGATGATCCACACACCTGAGACTATCAATTCTACAAACCGTGATAGATTAGTGACAGAAAAATGGCCACTTAGAAATGAAAATAAGCAGATTATAAATGAAGATTCCTATTACTACGGTATGGCTGGACTGGGTCTGAGTGCTCATCTGTCGGATGATAACTCGAAGATGTTGATAGGAGCACCGGGAATCGATAAGTGGAAGGGATCAGTGCATTTAAAGCAGGAAGGGCGCCATTTTAAAATTCCAAATGGAAGACAAAGGCGTGAGATAAACACTAAACTGAAATGTAGCGAGTGTAACCCGGAGCCAAAAATGTGGGGGCAGGAGGAAGACTCATACTTTGGATACGCCGTGAGCTCCGGCTTCTTTGATAGCTCCAACCTGAGCACCCTCCTCTATGTGGCCACCGCTCCTCAAGGAAATAACCATTCTGGCGGCGCCTATATCTTTGATATCGCTCAGGACAGCATTATTAAGCACAAGGAATTCCGAGGGAAACATTTTGGCGAATACTTCGGCTACTCTGTTCTGGCGGAGGATCTTAATGGAGACGGGAAAACGGATCTTATCATATCAGCACCCTTATATGCTCTGCGTAATTCCTACGATGATGGGGCCATTTATGTGTTCATCAACCAGGGCGATGTGCGTAATGAGTAATGTGACTTACTCTTATCCAGCAGTTGACTAATGTCTCCTTATTATTGCAGTTCAATTTTAAGGAAACGATCATTTATTCGCCAGCAGAATGTGGTGGCCGTTTTGGAACTACTCTATCGCGACTAGGCGATATCAATGAAGACGGTTTCAACGGTGGGTTATAAGACATATAATATATGTACATATCTATGCTATATACAAATATAAAAATAATATGCATTTTCCTATACAGATGTGGCCGTGGGGGCTCCCTTTGCTGGAAATGGATCGGTGTTCATCTACCTGGGCAGCGAAAATGGATTGCGGGATCAGCCGAGTCAGCGGCTGAACGCTCCCTCCCAGCAAGCCTCCAAGTACGGATCGCACATGTTCGGCCACGGGCTGTCCCGCGGCTCCGACATAGATGGCAACGGATTCAACGACTTCGCCATTGGAGCCCCAAATGCGGAGGAGGTGTATCTGTATCGCGCCTATCCCGTTGTGAAGATTATTGCGACAATTAAACCCGAATACATTAATCCAGAGCAGGAGAAGGTGAACATCACCGTCTGCTATAGACTGAGTACCAAGTCAAATTCCACAGCAAAAGCGCTACTGGCACAAGAGCTGGACATTTGGATTGACATCGATACCAAATCCAAGATTAGGCGGGCTGTATTTGAAAAAAATAACGGCAGCCAGTTGTTTTTTCAAGCAATGGCATATCCCCAAGAGCAATGCATGGAATGGCAAATTGAAATGGACAAAAGAGCTAAATTTCAAAACATCACCCTGGAGATGCGGTATAAGCTGTCGAAAAATATTCCTAACAATGCAGGTACGTCCTGAGAATTCAGCTGTGAAGAAAATGAACTAACTGAGAGTTCCTTCAATAGATTTCTGCATGGAATGCGCGGTGGTGGATCCGGCGGAACCGAATTTTTTCACGGGGTTCATTACATTCAACTCAGGTTGTGCCACCAAGTTTTGTGCCGCTGACTTGAAGCTAAGCAGCATTAACGAGAGGTGCGAACATTTCCGGGTAACAAGGTCTTGGAATGAATTAATACAAATTTTAAACTCTACAGTCGCTCCACGATGGTCTTGGGTACTGTAGATGTCCTGCGTCTGACCTACAACATCACCAACAATGGAGAGTTCGCCTACCACCCTCAATTCAACGTGACGAGTTCTGCCAACCTGAGTTTTGCCCAGGTGCCTGGCAACTGCAAGGTCACTGACGCCGTCCTGGTCTGCGACCTTAACCATGGACAACGTATGGCCACAGGAGACACCGACTCCCTGACCATCAGCTTCGATGTGAGACAACTCAGCGGACAGTTGCTGGAAATCCAAGCAGAAGTATTCAGTGCTCGAAACGATTCTGGTCCCGAGAACAACATGCTGAAAAACGTGATAGTTCTGAGGGAAAGAGCCGAAATCTATGTCAGCGGGTATGATCATGCTAACTATTAAAACCTTCTTTCATTAACTCCTACGCCACTTTGCAGTGTTCAGATGAACGATCAAATTGCTCTTAAAGGCGCTCCTTACACAGCTGAGGTTCTCAACAACTACGAGATCAAGAGCCACGGTCCCAGTACTTTAGAGAACTTGACTGTGTCCCTCAATATTCCCGTAGCATACTTGCAGTCTGGTTCTTCAAATGTCATACCTATCGTTACATCCAGCCCAAAGATACAGACCAAGTACGAGTATAAGCTTCTGCCTATCGAACTCTACGATCAAAATGGTGCACTGACCACGAACTTTGCCAATTACCTTGAGCAACGTAAGCTGCTCCTTTCCACTGCCCCACAAAATGATAGTGCCGAGTATCTCAGTGGAAACGCGGATCAGAATTCGAGCATATCGCTGTTGAACGAGGATCTGCCAGTCACTAACACCCTTGTGCTAAACTGCAGGGATACCAACGTGACGATATGCGTCCAGGTGGAAATGCGACTGGAAAAAGGGGTACAGCTTAAGCCGGAAGAGCTAATGAACCTGAATGTAAGCTTTACCGTGGATCTCAAGGACGCAGAGGATATCTGGGAGTACTTCGTCATTCAGACCGACATAAAAGTGCTCAAGATAGGCGATCCCACTCTGAGTTCTTTTACAATACAGAAGAAGATCGAGTCGAACGTTATATGCAAATATGCTGAACTGGCCATTTGGAAAATCATTGTGTCCGTGATCGTTGGCATTTTGGTGCTTTTGGCCACCACATATGCCCTTTATAAGGTACGTATCAATTCGGCTCACATTTATTTTAGACCCGTACTGATTTCATTTATTTATTTCATAGCGCGGATTCTTTAAGCGAACCATTAAATACGAACTATCGCAGATAATCCGAGATAGTTTTGAGGACGGTATTATAAGGCCAAGCGCAGACGAGAGTCATAGGGAGGATTGGAATAGGGAATTTGATGAAAATTCAGATACGTATACGAATGCGTCCGGTTATTGAACTGATAGTTTTGAATATGTGCAAGTAGAAAGGCAAGAAAATTATGATTAAATAAAATTGGTAATCCTATCAAATATTTTCGTTAGTATTTTTCTAATTTGTAAGTGTTAATAATTTATTTCAATAAAAATAACTTACAATTCTTAACATAAATAAGTACAATCATAATTATTTTATTAAAATGCATTGTTATTCTTAATCCTTGAAAATATTTAAAAATCTAATTTAAATTACTAGCACACACTGGCCAAACGTGAACAATTTTAGCGATCTTTTAACATACCTATAACATTTAGTCTATTTATGTACAATAATATCTATGCCGCCGAAAAAGGCAGTTGCACACAAAACACACGAATTTCCCCCCTATAAGCAAGTAAAATGTACTATCTAAGACGTTATACACATATGATAACACACATTGCCAAAGAGCCCATATCGTAGTGAACCTCGTAGACTACAAAATGGAACTTCGACAGGGACAGGTATAAGTACATTGGGCTGCGATAGGTTCTAATTGAGCTGAGGTAAGTGCTCATGATAGGCTTGGATAAAGTAGAGTGGTTGCTTTTAGATATGTCTGTGTGAAAGTTGCTTGCAACGTTGCAATATGTATGGCTGACTACACCTAAGAGTTTGTAAAAGTACCGAGTATGTGAATATGTGCATCGCATAACTCAGGCGTTCTAATATGCATATTTTTGGTGGTACCTATTATATTGACATCAAACGAAAACAGATATTCTATGCGTCTGCCTTAATAGTGTACAACAACAATGAGGCCTCTAAATAAATACTTGTACAAAAATACAGAGAATTTGTGAACTATGTATTGTCAAAATCATTAACACGTACTTAACCAGCGACCCCTCGAATAAATATGCATAATCTTTAATATCTGTTTCGTAGATCCCAACGATAGTTCATCGACTTATTTATCACCCCACTCCTATGACTAGTCTCCCCATTGAGCACAGTTTCATTGGCCTAGACCTTCCACATTGCTAACACATGGTCTCGTTGAACGGCGGATCCTTTTCCGATTCGGTGCTGCTCTTGATGTTCGATGATAGTTTGGCGATCTCGTCCTGCACCAGGTGGGTGCTGATCTGGGGTATGGATAGCGCCGGGTTGCTGCTCTTGGCTGACGAACCGACGGACTCATCCGTGCTGGAGCTGCTCTCCTTCAGCACATTCATGCCAAGCTTGCTCGCAAAGGGCTGCGGCTTGAGCGTGGAAATCAGTTTGGCCTGACCAGCCTGGGCCTGGGCCGCCTCCGGTGTCTGAGGCACTGCCTCGGCGGCCGGCTGAGACGGCTTGCCCTGGTCCACGCTAAACTGTTTCTTTAGCAGCATCGGACGCACTGGCGGTGCCGGCGCTGCCTGCATCGTCACTGGCCCCGAGGAGCTGAGATCCAGCGAACTGGAGCTCTCCTCTCGCAAACGCCTGCCATCGGCAGCGCCTACCGAGGCGGTACGGATGGGCTGGTAACGCGCCGTGGCAGTGCCGCCCACAGCGCCAACGCTAATGCTAATTCCTGTCGCCGAGTGCGAGTCGCCGGCGTCCAACGAGGGCTCCGCCGTCAGCGAGGGTGTGTCCACATTATATGAGCCCGTCAGCGAAGTGTTTGTCTCGTTGGAGCTTTGCTTGATGAAGCGATACGGATGTGCCGAGTAGTCAGTTTCCGTGCTGGAGTTTTTCTGCAGGCTCTCACTGGACTTCTTGAACAGCCGGCCCTCGTACGGTGGATTAAGGAAGTCACTGGTGGCCCGCGTGGGCACCAACGGTGAGGGATACGTTTGCTGCTCCATCGAGGAGTTGCGCTGCCAGGGGCGCTCGTTCTTCAGTTGAAAGCCGCTCGAGATGCCGGCCATGGCACCGCAGCTACCGGCCCCGCTGGTATCGCTACTGTCGCCTCCGCCGGCAGCGCCACCTCCGCCACCGCCCATCAAGTCACCATCTACCGAAGGCTTCGAAGGTGACAGCTCTACGGCAGTCTCCCGGCGCAGCGGGTAGCGATGGCTGTAGTCTATGGATCCGCCAATCTGTGGAGTTTAAGTTTTTGAATATTTGATACCATGATATAGATGCCCTTCATTGTTGACAGTACCTCGAATCCCTGGGCGCTGGCATCGATTGAGCCACGGGACTCGATCAGTCCCTCCAGAATCATGTAGTCGTTCTCTTCGCACTCCTTTAGATGCTTCTTCTCCAGCAAAGCCGCAGCCTCAGCCCGCGACATTTCTGTTTTGGGGCGGTCCAAGGAAGCTGTCATTTAAATGGGGTGAAATGGGCGTGAGTAGGGTTGCAAATTCAATAAAAAATCATGTGATGGGATTCATTTCGCTTTGGTGGCGGCGGAAGCAAGGCAATGATACGGGTGTTGCGCATTCACCCGGTTAGTTACACACTTTGCTCACGTATGTTGAAACGCCTCGATGGTAAGCAAAAACGGGTGACTGGGGCTCGTTTGTATTTGTAACCATGTGCTCCTCGCGGCCTCGGGCCTGGCTTACCTTTGTTGCTTGGCAGGGATACCGTGGGCGATGCTATCATGTGGCAGACGTTCTCCAGCTCGTCCGTGATCGAGGTGTACTCGCTGTGCAGTTTCAGCAAGATATTTCTGGAGGGTTTCGCATGCAATACTGATTTACCTAGAGTTCGGAGTTCGTGGTTAGGTTCAAAGAAAAGATGTGTGCGAGAGAACGAACAAAAATAAAAACTTCATTCGGTTATGATCAATGGTTAGGGTTTCAGTGCTAATTTGTTTGGCCAAATCGGTTTGCTGGATTGGTTGGTTTGGATTGGTTTTCTTATTTTTTTTGGATTAGGTGAAATGGAGTGACGGGATTAGTAGCCTGAATTTTGAGCGCAGTTCTGAGGCCGGCACGGTTTTCATCCTTCGATGGTCTCTTACCCGGATGTCCGGAACCCTGGGCCACGGGCGCATCCTTGTCGCTGTCCGGTTCCGATTGCGTGAGGCTCATCTGGCGGCGGGACAACGAGGCCAGCTGGTTGAGGCTGATGTGCGATCGGTTTATGTCCACCCCGGTTAAAGAGTACGTCTCCGAGTTGCGGCGACACAGGGACACTGTGCGCTGCCGCAGTGCTCGATGTCTGGCAGCTGTTTGCGATAAGAAAGATACTTTTATGCCGATTTTATACTTCTTAGACAGTTTGAGAGAACTGCGAACGGAGCACGTTACAGTGAAAGCTGTTCGATTCGAAAATTACCCTCAAAGTTGATGTCTGGCGTCGCATCATCAGAGTTGTCGCCGCCCACGAGCGTCTGGTCGTCATCGTTGTTGCCCATGGGCGTAAGAGTGTCCTTGCTCTCCGTGCTGGCACCCGTATCCTGGCGCACCGTCACGTACGGAGTCCGTTTAACCGTCTCGCAGGTCGATGGACGCTGCGACACCGGAATGTAGATGTCCGAGTCTGCCTCCGACTGCATCGACGCCTTGCGGACCACCTGCTCGTTGAGGGCCTCGCGGGACTTGACCACTTCGTCCGGTTCCTCCGGCAGAGGCACCACCTCAAAGTGCGTGCCCTCGTCGAAGATGTACGCATCAGGACGCACCTCGGTAAGCGAACGGTTAAAGCGGCGCCGGGTTGTGACCTGGATGCATTCAGCACAAGTGTGTAGACAGAAAAAAAAAGGATGTCATCGGTTCAATAATTTATTTCACATAAAACATTTTCTAACATATAATTTGAAAGTATAAATAACGAATAAATAGGGTAAAACAAAATTGAATCATACTAATAATGGCTAGCGGTCACAAAAATTCTTCTAGATTATAAGTTATTTAGAAGAGAGTCAATAAAATATATAATAAATGTGATGTCAAAGAGCCTAGAGGCTAAAGCATATTGGTAGGTATTCGAAGCAAACTATTTATTAGATCGAAGAATATCAAGTTCAGAATGACATTTTCTGTCCCAGTGTGCTTGGTATTGCAGCGATATGTAATTCAAACGCACCTGGAGCGAATTCAAATTCAGACCGGCACCGAGACCAAGTGGAACGATGGCTCCTCCACCACCACCACCACCAGAGCCACCAGCACCGCCACCACCATTTCCGCCGCTGCCGCCGCCGCCCTCCGTGTCCGAAATTGAGATGGTGCGCATGCGCTGCATCTCAGCCGGAATGTTAATCGTCGAGCCGCGGAAGTCATCCGCACCAGCCGTGTGTGTGGACATGAAACGATGTATGACGGCCAAATGCGAAAGTATCTGCTCCGAGGATTCCTCCATCTTTCGCAATCGGAACTCGATGTTCTGCAAAAGTCACGTGAAAAGTGATAAGAAATCGAATTTAATTTCCACAGCATGTATATGCATGCTAGTTGTAGGAAAAGCTGCAACGGCTGCACTAAATGGTCATTCGGACGTGTCCAATATTCAATTCAAATGCAAAGTCGTGCTGTCAGAACCCATGTTACTTCGGATAACACGAATCGCACAGGAAATTTGCATAAAAATGCAAACACAGCATTCAGATGGATGTCACAGTAGTTGGGATGAGGGTACGTAATGTCTACACACCTGAACGGTGGCCGTTTGTATGTTTTCCTTCTGATTGATGTCCTCGATTTTCTGAGACATGGTCTCCACCCGCTCCGTGGTGTTCTTCACCCGCTCGTCCGTCGACTGATTGAGGATGATTTCCTGTTCGTGGAAGAAGCCCTCGACGCACTCCTCCTCGAAGTCGTACAGCCGCTCCAGGTCGTCCTTCTCCAGGAACAGTTTGAGACCATTGTCCCGCTGCACCTCCAATCCTGCGGATTGCCGATCAAGTGGACACATGTTACAAGCGAGTCAGGCAGGGCACAAACGCGAAAACCAAGATTGAACAATAACAACAGCGCCCGGGGCCATGGCAGTGCACAATGGGATCACAAGTGAGGCAAATCGTTTGGCCATAACCCAATTAGGAGGTGTTGTTATTGTTGGCGCCAAGTGGCAAGGTTGATTTGAAATTTCAATACAAAGAGCAGGTGGCGTATACGTAATGCAGTTAGTTACAGAAGCACACACAGTCGAGGCACACAGTTGGGGCAAGCACGCAGGGAGAAAAGTTAGATATTTGTACATTATTGCTGCTCGGCTCACAAAGCCTCAGACACGATTCACTCACAGGGAACAAAGCTAAACTTGCTCATCCCGGGCTCACCTTTCGCCTTCCGCACGCAGTACTTGAGCAGCGAGTAGAAGTGGCACAGGGCGATGAAGGGCGGCGGCAGGACGGGCTTCTGCTGGTACTCCATCACCACGGTGAACCGCTGGAACATCCACACCTGAAGGGCAGAAATTGTACAAAATTATGACTAAATAGGACCTCAAAGATTCGATCACACCCACCTGGTGCGAAACCGAGTTGACCTCGTTGAAGATATTGTTGAACACAGCGATGAGCAGATTTATCAGCAGAATATTGGCAATCAGGAGGTACATGGACATGGTTATCGGCGTTACCCAGTGGCCTGTAATCCAATTAGTTGGTGTGCGTTAAAGGTGCGGCATCAATATGTTTCGAAGCCCGCCATCTGGACTGGGCTCTCCATACTCACCAGTGACGCAGCCCGGCTGGCTGGGATCCTCGCCGCAGGGAGGGTCGATATCGCCGGCGAACACCTCTCCGTACAGCATGAAGTAGGGCTGGAAGGTGACCTGGCGAATGATAAATTAAAATGGCCATTAAGTGCCAACTGATGGAACCGGGGGCTTCGCCATTGAGACATGGAATGGCTGGCCGGGCGTAATTCAATTTGCGCCCGTCGCCCAACATAAATGCAAGTTATACACATTGAAACACAGTTTGGTTATTTTTAGCCATCACCTGACGATATTTGTGTTGGGGTTGGGGTTGGAGTTGGGTTTTCGGGGGTGGGTGTCCGTGTGTTTGGGATGCAACTTATTTGATTTCTAATTTTCCGGCACTTTTCATTCGAATTCGGAAACAGCATGCTAAATATTTACACATCGATGTCTCCCCATCTCATTTGCATGAAACAGCTGGATTAATGGCAAATGCTCCGTAATTAAAACTCTAATATTTGCCTTATAACTATCATCTCTTACTCACTGCTGACCTAGGGCTAATATTTGCATTACACTGCTGCAGGCTGCTTAAATTATTTCGCATGCATAACTGAAAACTGCAATTAAATCAACAAATCAACGTTGAAGATGTCGAGCAGAAAAACACGAAAAGTAAAAAAAAATAGTGAAAATAGTGGGAGGGCTCGTTTTAAATATTCATAAGCGAAAACAGAGTACACACATTTACCTTAAAGAGGCTGGGCTAAATACTAGTTTATACAACATGCAGAACATAGGGATTGAAAATAATGCATTGGACCGAAAACAAAGAGTGGACCTGGCCAAACCATTGCAAATTCAACACGGATTAGGCTTGGCAGTCGTAGGTGGGAGATTCCAAAGGGACTTAACAGTTTCCTTTGCAAGAGTCGAAAAGGGAAAGTTGGGGATGCGAGATTTCGGAGCAGAAGTAGGCTTTAAGGATCAAGAGACAGAGGAGAGAGCAAAAGATATACAGGTATAAATACTTTGGGGACACAGTCGAACTTCCAACGGAGTTAAAAGTAGGAAAAGTGGGGGTCCATATAAAACTCAGGTTGAAATAGAATACTGGGCACACACTGATCTCCATCAAGACACAACATCAACTATAGACCACACCAATATGCAGCAGATATATCTGAGTAATATTATTTCTTTTAATTTATTATTATTATTTTTTTTTTTTTTTTTTTTTTTGGCAGACGCATCTAGGGCATTCTACAGTCGGCTCTCTATATAGCAAACCAAGTTCATCAATCACAAATGGCGTTACATTTGTCAAGTTGCCGCTCGTCAAATTCGAATGCTCATTGGGAGGAGTTGCAGATGTGGCCGCCGGAACTGTGGAGCTGGAACCGGTGGTGATGCTGGCTGCAGTGGTGGTCGCCGGCGGAGCACCCATTGTATGGTAGCCACGATGATAGCTGGAACGGGTATTGTGCCCCAGGGCACCTAGAAATCCGGGCGCCGTTATGGAGCCGGCAATAACCTGGCATTTTGGCAATTTTCAAGAACATTTAACGGGCGATTTATGCGTTTAATATGACAAAGGTGGTTGGTTGGTTAGTGAAGGCGATACAGTGATAGATTTGAGTTCGAAATGTAGGGCACAAATGACAGAATGACAGAATGACAGAAAGAAAGAAAGAAGAGTATATACGAGACAGTCAATTTGAGCGGCATTTGTTCGGTGATTTTGATTAAATTCTAGTTAGTCAGCTACTTAATATAAAGTGGGTTGAATGGAGCACCAATCGACAAAACTACTCGTACGTAAAAATGATTTGCTTGCACCACTACTTGAGGAACGCAGGCCAAAAACTTGCTTTGCTTGCTATTAAGTAAATGTATGTACTCCGCATCGTTAGGTATTATGTATATTTAAAGTTAAAGCTGCAATTGAAATCGACGACAAATCGAGGACACACTCGCTTTCTCTGTGTGTGAGTGTGTCGGTGTGTGTGATGAGGCTGACAAACGCACATACACTCAGATCGGGAGATTAGTTTATTTACAGAAAGTCGACAGGACAGGATCGACAGGACAGCGGTATATATATAGCTTACCTCCTTGATGAGACTCCAGGTGGGCTGTTTGTTGGGGTAGAGAATCGCTTGTCTGCTGACACCGAAGCTCATCAAAACGACCGCCAACAGGACCACAAAGTATATCATGTTTTTCACCATTTTGCCCATCATGGTGACCAGGGGTCCTGAAATATTTCATAATATGAAAGCTTATTTTCCGCGTTATTTATTGCATTGCCTTCTATACAAGGAATATAAATATTCAAACTAAGTACTAAGTAGAGATTTATATACCGCACATGCAAGCTTTATTTATTGTCTTAATTTGGCTCAATTCATTTGGTTTGCGGAAGTAAAGACTTACCCAGATATTTATTCACGCCAAGGATGTTCAGTATGCGCAGGTACCAGTAAATGCTGTCCACACAGTAGATGACTCGTCCAATGTCCATCGTATTCTCCCGGAATCGAAATGCCAAACCGATGACAAAGAGTATAATGGCGGCACCATCGCACGGATTCCACATATTCCACGCCCACACCGAGAACTTATGTCTGCTTGCCGAGTTCGAATTAATGGCGCCCAACGAAGGATTGGTAATTCAAGCGTAAGAGGCACATATTGAAGACATAAAGTAATGGAAATTCGCACAACTGTGAAATTCGCCCAGCTTCATTTGCACTCATCGCCAGATGCAATTAAACACAAATGATTGAGGTGTGCGGGTGTAGGGGTCTACTTACGTAATGGCCACCGGTTCTGAGGATATTATTTCGCGCACCTTTTCGAAGCCCAGCGTTGTGATATATGCTATTGAGTACCACTCCTGCCACCGCGGCATCTGCTCCATCTTCACCAGCACAGTGAAGGAGAACATTATGAGAAAGAACATATAGGCAATCTGCAATGGGAGGAGGAAGGGCTTAGAAACTGAGAAATAGGTCATCAAAATTGGTTGCCATTGAGTCGAATATGAAAATTATAGGCAATAATCTGGGCAAAATCAATTTCAATACATTCACTATTTTTCGCCCAGTGTACTCGCAGCGGAAATGAACCTCAGCAAGCTAGATAGTAATTTCCGCCACTTACCGAATCCGCCCAGAACTTGGTGATGGGTGCCGTGTAGAACTCGTAGAACTTCTTTTTCAGGCGCAGCGGCTGGTGCTGCTTCACCTCATTGTACTCGGAAAGATTGAAGAACTCTCTAAACTGGGCGGGATCCGAGTCGGTGAGGGAGACCTGTGGAGGAATACCGACGGTATTAGTGGGCCAGTAGGGGCGAGAGTGAAGGCTTGATAGTTTTCGGACTTAATTAAATCATCAATGTGCAGTGAGCATTCAAAGAGAGCCACGTGGGGATATATTACATTGGGGCATTGCGTATACGCCCCGTTGAACCGGCGTGTCAAATGTGATTTAGTTTGCTGTCTAATTAATTTGCTGGTGTTTTAGGCCCGATTTGCTATTGCTATTTATACGCGTGTTAGGTTTCCAGACACAACATGCAGAACAAATTAATTAAGTTAAGCAATATGCAAATCAAAATGTTTTAGCCGCGGGGAGTTCGAAATGTGCTGACAAAAAGTAGCATAGCGCAACTGTACTACTGAGGAAAATCGAGGAGGATTTAATAAAAGGTGTATGGTTGAATTCACACATTTTCTACGCATACATTTTCGCAAATGAAGCTACGAAATGCGCATTCCAAAGGGAATAATATGAGGCAAAACTACGAAAGCCAGTTACAGAAATGCCATTGAAATGAAAATATCTTGTGGGAGTAAACTATATCCGGGTTCAACTAACTTTGGAGGGCTGTTCATCCGCTCCAGCAGTGAGATTAACCTGTAAAATTGATACGATACAAGTACTAGGACATTAGAATGGCGTGTGCGGTTTTCAATTGCAAAATATCCATCCCTATGTAGATGGGTGTCTGAGTATAACTGATGTGCTGACTGGGTGATACCATTTTGTATATGTTGGAGTTTTCTGGTGTCTTTGCCTAGGGATCGAACTACAACAACCAAATGGGAAATAAAAATAAACAAGGGGAAACGGCATTTCTTTTTCTGTTCTGTGCTGTCACTTCAAGTTTACAAAATGTTATGGTCGAGCAAAATGGCAGTCTTATCGCATTCTGAGTCGAACATTTCGATGAGAAAATACGAGTAGGTGGTGTATGAAGGGCTGGTTTGTGTTGCTTGGTTTTTGTTTGGTTTGGTTTGGTTTGTTTTGTTTTGTTTTGTGGAGCTACTCACTTTGCCATTTTCGTGTACTTTTGTATCGCGCACTGAGTAAGTATCCGCCAATAGAGCCTGCAACGGTTCACGCACATTTTTCGCATTTATCAGATATGAAATCACTCTTTAGTTTTACTTTCTAATGTGTTTGAGCGGTGATCTTTGGACATAGTACTTTAGGTCAGATGAAGAAGTGTAGAGGTGTGTGTTTTAGGTACAGGTTTCCTAGATGATTTGTAGTGCAGGTAAGTTTTTAAGTTGAAAGTACTGGAAATACTTTATGACACATACGTAGGCATTCCACAGATATGTACAAGGGGCGAACGAACTACTATGAAATACATTTCCTCTTGCACTCAATGGACTTTAATTTGATTTCGTGATTAAGGGATTAACCCCTTCCAATGGAAAAGTGGGTGGCGATGGAGCCAGAGCTTGTGCTGTGAAAACTGAACCGACTAACTGAAAAACAATATTTGCACAAGTGCCTTGCCTCCTCTCCAGTCATTCAGTTAGTAGTTTGACATAGACCTGGTGGCATTTGATGTGGTTTTGTTGGCAACGAGTGCTTGGGGATAATGCTTGGAGTGGGTTTGTGCCGAGATTATTACTTAATTTAACTCTAAGCCAGCTCTCGGCTGTTGCCAATGATTTTCATTACGCTGCTAATGGATATTCGCACTTAATTCGAACCAAAGGGGACTTTAAAATTTTATGGGAAGCATTAGAGGCAAAAGCTACTCGAATGTAACGAGGGCGGGCAATATTCGGTAACTTACATCTGTTGAATTCGAGACACTCTTAAAGGAGGGCGAGCTGTTTTCAGCTGGTATTAGCTTGCACTTTGGGAAAAACACATTCAAATGATGGTTAGTGGTGAAGAAAATTACATTAAGAACTGGGCGAAATGTAATGAATTTTAAATGAGTTCCCAATTTTTAGTAGCTACCTTCAACCTTTGAGTTGAACTAAACTATCGAAGGAGATAAAAAGAGTACGTGTTTGTGCTCCCGATTGCTGATTAGGCTGTTCTATAAATAATATACTAAACCAACATAATCAATAATCAATTATTCGTAAGCCCTTAGAAGGAAATTTGTTTATTTTCAAAATAACTGGAGCAGAAAAAGTGTAGCAACTCTTGTACCGAAACCAAATATTGATTTTTGTTATTTTTTGTTTCCTCAGAGCCATAGAAATTTTTTTCGTATTAAAAGCCCTTTCAATCCCTTTTAGCATAGAGTACGATATAGTGGATATCTTCTTGGCAAAAATTCAAAAGTGATGTACACTTTTAAAACATGGTATTGTGCAAGGCAATTTTATTGTTTATGTGTTCTTCCTGCACTTCGTTTTAAAATTTAAATTGATAAATACATGTATACCAAATTACGATACAGACCAAAGAACAAGTATGTAAAAAGCAATTAGTGTAGACAGACAGTTCGGGTTCGAAAGCAAAGTAAATGAAATATAGTTTTGTGATCTGGCAACCAGAACAGATACAAAGATACAGATATAGAGATAGAGTCAGAAACAGAAACAGAGCAGAGACAGCAAAGAGAACATATACATGTGTGTATGCATATAGATATAGACGACTTGAACACCAAAGAAACGGAAGTCATGTATTTGGCATAGATCTGATTGATTGTTACTACCTTTTCGCGATTATTAGTGCCCGCGCCCATCCTATATCTCAAGGAAATGGATCTTTTGGCTTTTAAAAGGGCGCTCTATAAACAGACAGATTTGGATTTAGGATTGATGAACAGCAGAACGATAATTTGGTCAGTGGTTAATGGTAAACGTTAGACGTAAGGTTAGTAGAAAAAATTGAATAACTAAACGCTGAAAACGTATAAGGCACACATTTAGGAATGGCACATATAGACAACGAAACCAAATTAAATTGAATGTTAGTAAGAAATGAACAAAATAACTTTAGGTTACTGAAAACACAAAGCCAAATACCTCGGCATCCGGCTGCGAACGATCCGAGTCGTCATTGTCCAGATTCTGGTTTTCCAGATGCTCTTCCTCAGTCTGCGGCATCTGCTGCAGCTCCTCCTTCGACTTGAAGTCCAGCTGCCTGATGTAGAATGGCATCGCCAAGCCCAAGATGACCTGGATGCAAAACGCAACACACATTTGTAAGGCAACCACAACATCACTGCATCTCTCTCTTTAAGTCATACCTTGAAGTTTGTATTCTTGCGGGTTCGCAGTCCACCCATCCACAGATCCGCCAGGATCACCTGACTACAGGGATGCGCGAGGAGGGCACGATGGTTGGCCGCCACAGCCAGCGAAAGGCAACTCTGATTTGACCAGGAGTGCAGCTCACAGGTCAGCAGTCTTTGCGCCTTCTCCGCATCCTGTCGGTAACTGAAGTCCAGCAGCTTGTTGCCTAACATGGAAAGCAATAGTTTTCCATTTCAATCAAATCATTTGTCTTGCATTGTCTTACCCTTGCTCTCGAACTCTTTGGCGTAGGAGCGCAGCTCCTCGTAGATTTCCGTGTCCAAGTCATCCTCGGCAGCTTCGTGGGCCATGGCCTTGTACAGTTTGCAGGATACGAGTGACTTGGCCAATGCCTCCTCGCCATGTGTCCACATCAGCAGGGCCATCTGCTGTCGCTTGGTCAGCACGGCCCAAATCTGAAAGGAGCAATCTGTATGTGCAACAGGGCGGATGAGTGATGAGCCGAAAACCGCTTACCAGCAACTCATTGAATGGGAACTCGAAGAGGGCCATTTCCGAGGTGAAGGGCAGCAGGCCAGTGACCAGGCTCAGCGAATTGGCTCCGGCATATCGCTGGTACTGGTAGGTGGACGACTTGCGGCACGCATTTGCATAGCTGTTCATAACCTTGGCGTAGATGGGCCGGAATTTGCGGCGCGTGTAATAGGATCTGTGGGGAGGCAGAGTGCGGAAATCGAGTTGGGATTGGGTTGATGCTCTTGACCGGCGGCGGTAATCTAATGCTTCTTGACGATTTGCCTCAGTAATTTTGCATTGTGTCTACTTTTCTGCAAAAGATACCCACGGACTGATGGACATCCGCTGCTGGAGGAATGCTTGAATAACAATGAAAACGGCTCCATTTCGATGCTATTTTTTCAGCTGTTCGCCATTTGTTTGCGAACAGCTTAAGAGATTTCCATCGCGAAATGTAAATGTAATTTGGTTTGGTCAGGACACTCGAGAAAGAATTTATTTGGCCTGCACAATTCGGAAGCACCTGGCGGCGTTTTACGAGCGCACAATTAAATTCAGCACATCAACACAAAAAGCCTATAAAATATTTATGACAAAATAAAAGGCAAATCAATTGACTTGCCCCCGTGAACCCAAGGCAACCAGCAGCAGACCAGCCGATTCGAATTTTATGTTAATCAAATCCCAAAACTTTAACACATTTAATTACGCCCAAGTTGGCAAATTTCTGAGCCTGCTCTCGACATTGACGACACATTTAAATGTCCGCAGTCTAGACATTGAAAACGTGGAGCAACAGTCACCCGAACCAGGCAAAACCCAGACCAGAGGTAAGCCAGTCGACCGAGAAAAGGCCAAGGACCGAATCTGAAAACCCTAATTTAATATAAACACATCAGTTGCGAGGCCGGCTCATTGCCTAGATAGCCTTTGCCATTTAGATGGGCATTTGTCAGATAACTTTCGGCCAGGCAGATCCTTTGATTAAAGCACAAAGGCCAAAAATCAGGGAAGCCTGGAAGGCTGGCATGTCCGAGAAAAACAAACAGAATGGGGAACTACAAAGACAAGTAGTGCCAAATTTCTTTGTTTATGATTCAAATAAGTGAAGGGTTCCATACGCATGGTAAATAAGGGCGTAGTGCATTTCAAAATGGCTTTATTGAAAATAACAAGCAAACTCACAATGGCAAGGACACGAGCAATTTGAACTGATTGAATATCAAGGAAAATTGACTTTAAATCAGAAACTTTACCTTTTGATAGACTGTTCGATGTGCATAGTTGTATTAAATTCGGATTTTCAGAAATGCTTAGCCTTTGTCCTTCAGTTAAAAATTGTAATCAAATTTTCTCATTCTTAACCAAAGAAAGGCTTGAATGTTTGGCTAGTCTAATCAGCACAAGTCAAGTTGTTAGGGCCACAATTGCTGCACGATTTTTAATTAAATTGAGTGATTCCAGAGGACGGTCAGTTGCCTAACCAACGTGTTTTTTATTGAAGCCACAAACCGCTTCCTGGCCCAAACAGCCGCAACTTGTAAGCGATATTAAACAGCATTGTGGTCGGCGGAGCAGCGGCGTTAACTGAATTTAAGCAGCCACCGCGTTTTCGCCTTGCTGGCAAATATTAATGCTGCATAATTAAGGGGCGCTTTGCCCTGCCCGGCATTCTGTTCCCTTTGACCTGGCGCCCTGCTCCTTTCTGATCCTTTCAGCTCCTTTCTGCAGCACCACCAACATCACCAGCAGCATCAGCATGACAAAGCGGAGCAAAAGTCGCCTGCCAGGCAACGAGGCTCTTGGCAACTTGATGTGCAAACTTATTACACTTTCATGAACAAATTTCTCAAACATTCAGTTTAATCCGCAACACGTTCAGGTTTGACTTTACCCACCGTTCGGTCAGGCAAATTGCGGTAAATGCTTTCCTTTTTTTGGGAAAATGGAAACACAACAGCTTTGTGGCTAACTGGCGAGGTGTTTTTCGTGGTTTATTAATTGCAAATATTTTTTTAACTTAATTAAATGATCCAAAGATGAATGGGCATGGGAAAATAAGCTCGACATACGCTCGAAGTTTTTTACCAATCAATTATTTGAAAATGTATCTTCGCTTATATGGCACTTTTTCATTTTCCTTTAAAAACACAAATTATTATGAATATAGAGAGATCAATTTCCATAAATTTTAAATTATTACAGGAACTCAGCATACGCAGCTTAGCCAAAATAGAAGTAATTACAAATATTTTAAGCTGCTCCCTGAGCCATTTACTTTTGTGGATTAATAAATCCACAGCGCAAATAAAGAGGCTTATCAATACCTCCTCCAACGCAACTTTCCCCCATTTCAGTCAGCTCGTGGAAAAAGAAACAGCTGAAAATGCTATAGCTCTGCACTCACCGATATGCGCCGCCCATTAGTTTATTGATCACCAGGCCGATGTCGTGGAGCGTGTAAATGTAGCCCTTGGGTATGTGCGGTCGGACATCGCGCAGGATGTAGCTGCGGGCGGAGTGGGAGAAGGACACGAGGACAATGTTGAAATTTACATAGGCCGAAAGGAAAATATTTGGGGCAACGGCGGCACAGGGGATGTGGTCAGCACGATGGGCCGTCCACTCACTCAACTCACCCCAGCGTGTTGGCCGGACCGTGTTTGGTATTGTAGAGCTCCTCGAGGCGCGGTATTGTCAAAAATTTCTTCATCGAAACGCCATTCTCCAGGAGTAATTTGACAAAATCGATTCTATCGTGCTCCAGCGCCTGCATCATGGCCTCGTCCAGTGCGCCTGCAAAGACATTGTAAGTTTTGAACTAGCGCCAATGGTGGGAGGCATCCGCCGCCGGATGCCAGCAAGTCAAGACCCACCATTTGGCCATTCCTGCCCGTAGACGAATATCTCGCTGCGCGCTATGTCCACCCGATTCCACGTCAGGGCGAGGCTCAATTGCTCCGGCGGACTCAGATGCTGTGACTTGAAGAGGGCTGTTAGGATGGTCTGATCCAGTTCCTGCGCCTCGCCCTCGGGCTTTTCCTGTATGCGAAAGACGGTAATCTAGCGCAGAAATTGAAAGGAAATATATATACATTATATACGTAAAAACGCCAAGTATCTATTAATGTAGCTACTGTCGAACATAATTTGTTTGGTTAGGCCTGGCCCCCGGGGCAAGGACATACTAGAGCCACTGCCACTGCTGCCGTCAAAAACTCAAGCTCGTTCAAAAACCAATTAAATTCGTAATAACATCTGCGGCGGAATTGACGAAATGCCGGCTTTTTTGGCACACAAAAATACGGGCACTCGCAGGAAGCTGACTGCTCCTGCTGGCGGTGATTTAAAATTCATTGCACGTTCTATTGAATTTTTGTAGCCTAATTATTTCAACGGGTCTACGGGCATTAATTAAAAATTTAAATCGCTGCGCGTAAAAGTCTCAAGAGATTGAAAAGTTAGCCTCACACCAAGGTTCATTAGAAGCTTCAATCATCTCTGGGCAACTTAATTGGGCAAAGCCCCTTTGGGTTATGCGATTTTAATTGATGGGCTCATACCTATAAATAATACCATGGAAAAATCAACTGGGGCGACTTTCTTCACCTGCTGCAGGTGCAGCTACACTGGGACTGGGATATGTTTAAATATTTACTAAATTATTATTCCACTTCGCGGGAAAGTTAAACAGTTTAATAATTCTCGTATATGTTCCACCTGTAGCATACTTTAAATAAACTTTTCAGGGGTCTATTAAACTCATTAAAACAACTCATTTAATTCCTCTTCACCGGAACTTTAATGCAATTAAAACGTTGCAAAAAAGGCAGACAAAGAAAAGCCATTAGCTTATTGTTAATTACCTAATCATTTAATGACATCGCTTTCCCATACAACTTTTCAACTCTGAGGGGACGTGGTATGACTTTACTAACATACTCCCGAAGTAATAGGTGCTCACCAGATTCTTGTTCCGCGTGCACTGCAGCAGCTCCTGGTAGAGTTTCTCGGATTGGTCCAGGCCCACCTCGAAGGTCTTCTGTATGGTCCCGATGAGATAGTCCCGCATGGACTCCAGTACCGTCTGCTCCTCGCCATCCGAAGCATATCTGCATATAAATGTTGTCAGATACGGCATTGTCGCAGCACGAGAGTGTGCCCAATTATTCAGACTAATTAAACAACAAAATTAAATGTGGCAGACGAAAAGGTTCGCCGGAGGATTGGGTGGCCCCCAGTTCCTTTTTGTGCGTGTGTGTGTGTGTGTGGTGAAGGTGGTGGCGTTGGGTAAATTTAAATAATTTGCCAAATGTCGCGTGCCAACAGGCGTTCGTTGGGTGAGAGGACACGGCGACATGTTCTTAATTAAGTTTACACAAACTGCGGTTTCTCATTAAGTTGCCCGGCACTGGCTTTAACTCCAGAGCCTCCAGTGCCGCACATGCATGTACATACTAGTATCTTAAAGCTGAGCACCTCGAATATCTGCATTCACATCTACTCACTTGTGGACGAAGGCCAGCAGGTCGGCGGCACGCCCGGATCCGTCACATACGACCACCGGAACCGGCGGCGAATCCGTCACGTACTCGAGCACCGCACGTATCGTGTTGGTGCCGCCCTCGATCACCAGGCAGACGACGGGCGTACTGGAATGTGTGACTACGGGAAAATGGCACAAGAGGTTAAGATTTGAGTCGGGCTATCCATGGGGGCATGCAACGGGGATTAGTCTGATTCACAGGGTGCAGCCGCTACTGAGGATTCAACAGGTCGATTGAGACTCGTCACCACCTGGTGTCAGTACACTCAACGGAAATGTATGTTTAAACAAAATTGAAATATTGTATGTCCAAATACGAATACGTATCAAATGATATCTGTTTACTTGTAGAGAGGAAAATTACAAATTATCCTTCGACTAAACGAAAAATATATAGTATAACTGTATAGTTGAAAATAATTGAATCAAATTAGGATGACTAGTTTTCCTTGAAGTAAATTCGTTCGAAAGATGATGGAAATCTTTAGGCGAGCAAAATAAGCAAAAGGAAACAAATTTCTGTATACCGTTTGTCTTTAGCCAGTGATTCTTTGCTAGAAGTATAAGTAAATTTTAAAAAAGTCTTAGGAAACTGGTTTCATCATGGTTTATGCCAATATAATAGACAAGCATTTTGTTTCTTGTATTTAATAAATAACATCTATTCAACTTGCAGGACAAGCAACCAAACTATTGGCCCATCGAACTGAAAACATTGACTCAACTGTCTATTTTAATGTACTTGTATAGTTAAAAAATCGATATATTCAAAATACGCAGAAAAGCAAATCTTTTGTATTTTCCCGAGTGCAATAGTAACTGCCAACAACAGCTCGCCACATCAGATTGAAATCCCGGCCATTCGGAGCTTAGCCCGCGGCATTGGCCATGAAAAGAAATGGCTCTCAATAGCCACCGATGACAAGGAGCTTCAATCTGCGGCCTGATTGGCCTTTTGTGCTGTCGAGCTGTCATATTGTGGCTTTTGTCCTCGACTTACATGGGTGAAGCTTCAGGTTGGATATGAACTTCTCCAGTTTGCGCCGCAGGATCAGTTCGGCCCCATACTTGGCCTGGGTGCCATTGTCCACCAGCAGGAAGTACGCATGCCGATTGTTTAGCACGGCCAACTTGGATCTGAAAGGAACGAACAGGTGATTGCAGTGATTTCAGTGATTGCAACAGGTCACTCGACTTAATTGCAGTGGGAATGGCAACAGCTAATACTCATGCATTTGTAAGCCACGGACCAGGCCCATTTAACTTGTTGCCCTGATTGGGCCCATAAAATATGCATTAGCGCCATCGTACCATACACTCACCTGGGCGAACTAATGCTGTGGCAGGGCACTTCGCGATTGTGGCCGAGCAGCTCGTGATTGCGCTCCACGATGCCCCAGGGAGCGATGCCGATGCTGACCACTCGTCCTGTCCGCTGCTGACCTTCCAGGAGCAGGGCATCGCCCACTTGCTTGGTGACGCCTGTTTGCCGAGAAGCAGAGGAAGTACAACAATGGCCACGTTGAGCAAGTGCGTAAACAAGTTTGTCTCCATGGAGGATTGCGATAGTGTCCCGCCCGCCCACGCGACCTTCCCAGTTTCAGTATATCTTAGTTGAGGGGCGTGTATAAAATTTAATAACAGCTCGAGCACAAAATCCGGACGACAAAAAAAAAGGACGAAGAGCATTCGAATGAAAAATGTAATAAAGTATACAGCATCTCGAGGCGACTATAGCACGCGCTTCAATCCAAACAAAGTAATAAGCATCGCCTTTCATTTTTTGTATTGTTGTATCAAAAAAGAACACTTTTTTGCATGCCAAATGAAGCAAATAAAACAAAAAATTCTTTCAATGAAACCTGGGCAGATGGTTAACTTTGTAAAAGTGTCACCGTTTTTCTCAAACGTCATGCAACTCAACGTGATGACTTGCACTGACTTAATTACATTTTTATCGAACAATTTCATTACTTTTCATAGGGCACTTTTTCAGGAATCGAATCAAGGCCAAATCCATAAAAAGCAAGCCAGCGCACTACATATTAGGGCAATTTTCTGGCTACCCCAATGTACTTATGTCCACCCTTGCTGACTTGATAATCCAATTTATTTGGGCCACCAGATGCACCCACACGCACACCCACTTTTCGCAGCAATCCCAATATACCCCGAGCATAGGGCCACTGGGTAGCGCAATATGTTGACTGGCAAGCAGTTGAAGTGTGTACAATCACTGGCTGCGTGATTTCCGTTTGGGATTTTATTTATTTAATTTTCGACTGGGGTCGCTCATCCGCACTCGGCTCGCCTCATTTTCCTCTTTAAGTTTTTCCGGCCGCCGTTCGGTTGGTTGTTTGTTTGTTTGTTTGTTTTGTTTCCTTGCTCATTTTTCTTTGTGCTTATTTAAGTTGGCCCGCCCGTAATCGTTGGCCATAAAACCGGGTAGTGTCCTTTCATAAAACTTAAATGAAACGGAATGCTCACCGGTGTTTGTGCCGCCGGTGAATATCCAGGCTCCAGTGGTCTTGGCCGCCTTCAGCAGTCCTTTGCGTATCTCCTGCGAATCGAATAGAAATCAGTTTCCAGTTTCGTTTTCAGGAGGCCACGGCCATTCAATTAGCGTGTGACACACGACCCTTCTTTCACTTTTGGCGATGGGTTCTTTTTGGGACCAAAAGTTTTCACCAACACCCGCCATTCGCCAGTCGCCAGTCGCAATTTTCCTCACCTTCTTCAGCTTGGCCTGCAAATCAAAGTTGGCCTTGCCGCCCTGCACGGTGATCAAAAGTTTTGGCAATTCCAGATTCCATTCCTTGGTGAATAGCTGCACCAGTAGTTCCGGCCGCGTGTCGAACGACAGGCGAACGTACTGGAAAAAGCGGCCAAAAGTTATTAAGGTGCGCACTAAAACAGATTGCCTCGAATGGGATGGTCCTACCTGAGCCTTTGTGGGATGGGCGCCGCCCTGGAACTCGATGGTTCCATAGGCATCTGTGGGCTGCGGGCGGGTGTGCTTCGTGGGCAGCCAGAGGTCTCCGGGCGACCCACTCTCGATGCCAGGTATCGTCTGGTGCGTGATCTGGGCCTGGCCACAGCAGCACCTGCGAATAGAGAATTCACCCCAATGAATATCGCTTTATTAATAAATAGCACCTAAGCTTCGAAGGTTGAATGGAACATACACGTACATCTTGCAACTCTACTTCGCCAAAATTGCCAATTTAACAAAAATGTTTGCCACCACTTCCCATGACCTTAAGTAAGGAACTTTGATTTTTGCTTAATATACTGAAGTTAATACTTAAGGAGATACGTAAGTTCAAATTTTTAGGATAATTATACCCGTTACTCGTATAGTAAAAGGGTAAACTAAATCGGATTTTAAAGTGGCATACCTCTAAATGTTTCCGGCGCAATTCTCTACAAATCTGCATTCAAATTAAGAAATATATATTTTTTTAAATTTTTTTGTCATTTTTCTGATGTATGATGTTGTAGAAATTCAAAAAGTTACAAAATGTCCCAAGGCTGAGGTTCTATACTCCATAACTCAACTTATCTTAATCGGATTTTGAAGTGGCATACCTTTAAATGTTTCTGGCGCAATTCTCTAAAAATCTGCATTCAAATTTAGAAATTTATTTTTTTTTAATTTTTTTGTCATTTTTCTGATGTATGATGTTGTACAAATTCAAAAATTCTAAGAAGTGTCACAAGGCTGAAGTTCTAAACTCCATAACTCAACTTATCTTGATCGGATTTTGAAGTGGCATACCTTTAAATGTTTCTGGCGCAATTCTCTAAAAAACTGCATTTAAATTTAGAAATTTATTTTTTTTTAATTTTTTTGTCATTTTTCTGATGTATGATGTTGTACAAAATCAAAAAAACTAAGAAATGTCACAAGGCAGAAGTTCTAAACTCCATAACTCAACTTATCTTAATCGGATTTTGAAGTGGCATACCTCTAAATGTTTCTGGCGCAAAAAAACTGCATTTAAATTTAGAAATTAATTTTTTTTAAATTTTTTTGTCATTTTTCTGATGTATGATGTTGTACAAATTCAAAAAACTAAGAAGTGTCACAAGGCTGAAGTTCTAAACTCCATAACTCAACTTATCTTGATCGGATTTTGAAGTGGCATACCTTTAAATGTTTCTGGCGCAATTCTCTTAAAAACTGCATTTAAATTTAGAAATTTATTTTTTTTAAATTTTTTTGTCATTTTTCTGATGTATGATGTTGTACAAATTCAAAAAACTAAGAAGTGTCACAAGGCTGAAGTTCTAAACTCCATAACTCAACTTATCTTGATCGGATTTTGAAGTGGCATACCTTTAAATGTTTCTGGCGCAATTCTCTAAAAAACTGCATTTAAATTTAGAAATTTTTTTTTTTTAATTTTTTTGTCATTTTTCTGATGTTGTACAAATTAAAAAAAAACTAAGAAGTGTCACAAGGCTGAAGTTCTAAACTCCATAACTCAACTTATCTTGATCGGATTTTGAAGTGGCATACCTTTAAACGTTTCTGGCGCAATTCTCTAAAAAACTGCATTTAAATTTAGACATTTCTTTTTTTTAAATTTTTTTGTCATTTTTCTGATGTATGATGTTGTACAAATTCAAAAAAACTAAGAAGTGTCACAAGGCTGAAGTTCTAAACTCCATAACTCAACTTATCTTGATCGGATTTTGAAGTGGCATACCTTTAAATGTTTCTGGCGCAATTCTCTAAAAAACTGCACTTAAATTTAAAATTTTTTTTTTTTTTAATTTTTTTTGTCATTTTTCTGATGTTAAGATGTTGTAGAAATTCAAGAATTCAAGAATTTTACTGGTGTATGATGTAGAAATTCAAGAAAATTAAGAATTGTCCCAAGGCTGAAGTATTAAACTCCACTTAAAACTCCGCTTAAAAATGATATGTATCGCAGATATCATATAGTTCATTTTAATATATGCGGCATACACTGCGTTCCTGGTTCCGCCTTAAGTTGCAAGAAATCCATCTGCAGGTGACTCCTGGCCCAGATATTCCTGGCCATCGAGGGTGTTGACTGACCGTCAGGATATGTGGGTGTAAACGATATTCGGCAAACAACAGCCAGAGTGCCACGCCCCCAGAGAATAATACACGCATCTGCCTTAACCTGTCACTTTGTTTGCGATGCCCACGTGGGGCACAAAGCGTTATTTACGCCCCCGTGTGCGTGAGTGTTGACTTCGTAGCCCCAAAAAATATATGTGTGGCAGCCACAACCGGAGAGGCAATAACCTGTCTGACCCGATCCGATCCGACCCACCTACTGACTGTCTGTCTGTTTGCTGTTTGCCAGCCGATGTTCTTGTCAGGTGCTTAAAGTTGTTTGCTAAATAATGCATTTCAATTAGATCCCCGCGCACAGCCTGCCGCAGTTTGAGTAGGTTTGAATGGAATTAAATAACCAAATTAATCGACACGTGTCTGTGGCTCATTCCACATGATATGTGGTAGACATGCCAGACAAGGATATCTTTTTTCAACAGAGAAACAGTGTAATGCCTACGCAATTTTGAATTAAAAGTCTTGCGACTTTGCTAATGTACTCGAATGCCAAAGGAACGTTTTATTTATTGCTGGTTTTTAAATACAGTTCGCCGAATATAAATATGAGTTTTTAATTACTTGTAAAGTCGTACCTTTCCTGCTTAAGTTTCAGCGCCAGTTCCTATTCATAAATACAATTTCACCTTGTGAAAGTTCAAAGCCTGATAAACAATAATCTTGACAATTCGTTTTAATTAGCCAAGTTTGAGTTACAAACTACGTCAGGAATTCTACTGGCCGGCTATAACTACTAGTGGAAATACTTTCGGCACTGGCAGCTACCGGTTGCCGTGAAAACGCGGGGGGAAAAGTGTAGAACGGCGAGCAAATATTTGGCAAGCCAGGTGCTGATAACAGGGCTCCAGTCATGTAAAGTCACGGGGGCCATAAACCCATCGCTTGTCCCGCCGGTGCAGTGTTGTCCGTGCGGAAAACTTTCACCAGAACGTCTATCCGAATCCGAACCAGAATCAGCCACTGGGTCTGTAGCTGTATCTGTATCTGTATCTGTATCTGTATCTGAATCGGTTGGGCCGCGGCCGGGTTTATGGCACATTTATCTCAATTGCTGGTTCTTGGGACAGCCGCTGTCATAATAAACAATAAATGCTAACGCCCAAAACGAAACTAAATACACAGCGATCTAGGAACTGGGCCAGTAGCGATTCACTGCATCTCGGCGAGCATTTTGATATGCGAAACTGGGTCAACAGCTTTCGTCTTGGACTTGGACCCCGACTCCCTTCGTTTTCACCCCCCCTTTTCCGAACCCACTGCTGCCAGTCAGAGGATGAATTTAAATGCAAATAAATTAAATTAGGTGCCACTTACTTTGCATCGTCCTTTGGGCATGGTATGAATTTGATGCACTCGCGCTTCTGGAAATTTGTCTCGATCCAACTACGCGGCTGGTGCTAGATTGAACAAAAGCGAAATCAGTTAAAATATTATTTTTACAGTTTGAAAATCGCCGCATTTAATGCTCATAGTTACACTTTATACATTGATCATACGGCTAGAGGAGCAAATGGAAAATAACTTGAAGGGAACAAAAGGTTCGATAAGTATACAGATCAGCGAAAGAGTCACAAAGAATGACTGATATCGAGGACTTATAGTGCAAAATATATGCAATATACATTTAAAGATTAATAGTATCCAAAGTTCGGTTTACTTCTGGTTGAAATTAAAGAAGGTTTCAATAGTTACAGTTAAATCAATTAAAGTAAATAATTAAAATCAATAGAATTAGAAATTTGTTTGATAGATATCTATTATTATTCGGGATAAACGACGTCGACACAATACAATCACTATTTAAACAGTACAAATTTGAAAACAAATATAGGTAAATAAATTGGTTAATTGGCAACAAACAAATGTAACAAATTAAGATACGCATTTACAGAATTAAATATTTACAATGTGAATGGGGCGGTTGTCGTAGGTTTTTGCATTGGTAATTCATATATTTACATTTGCAACTGTTGAATTAGCCCACTTTTACTATTTAATTAGGCAACCAAACAAATTCCCCTAAATATAGTTGGTACTTTAACGTAACTTTTACGTATTTGTTCAGTACCTAAAAAAAATAATGATGTTTACGACTGATCCGTTAGTTTTACACAAATTTTGTTGCATTATTTACCTAATAGTGTAATAATACTGGAATAATACTTATTCCGATAACGCTATCTTTTACTAACAGTGTCGTGCCAGGTCTAAATATTTTTCTTTTATTTGACTATCAAAACCTATTTTCAACCATAAAGCCCTATAAATATGATTGGCAGTGCTCATGCACTTTGATCGGCTTATGTTATGTGAGCCAAATCCAGTCACGTTTTCATGCCGGCTTGAATCCTCTGGCATTCGCACAATTGATTCCGATTCCGATTCCGATTCGGAATCAAAACTTTGGCCAACTGCAACTTTGCTGTTATCGTAGCAAACAAAGCCAAAGTGGCAAACTTTCAGGCAACACCCAGAGTCGACCCAGAGCCATGAATCCACAGAGGGAGCAAACAGCTCCTGGGATTCCCGGTGGTTAGCGGGTATGGATGGTATGGTTACCTCCATTTAGCAGAGGTTACCACTTAATGCGGCGAGTGGCCTACCTCCTTGAGGGGTTCACTGCCGGCGTGCGCCTTCAGCAAATCGCGCACATTGAGTATGAGGACCTTCGATAGCGTCGAGGAGACGGAGGAGCGCTTCCGCATCCGCTGGTGCCGACGAATGCCCCGCGGCGTGGAAATCGGAGTCCTGAAAGTCGGGGAGCTACAAGTGGGCAAGTGGGCTGCGGATTCGGCCGCAATGAAGGCGGATGTGGAGGCACGAACCGAACCGACGACGACAGCCGGCGTATTGCTGTATCTGCGAACTGTGGAAAAGTCCTTGGAAATTCGACGCACATATTTGTGGGGGGCGAGCGGGGAGTCGGTAACCACCATGCTATTGCCGGTTTATACGCTATTTTCCGCTAATGTGCTCTAATTAATTGAATTCGCTGCGTTTCGCGAGCGGCAGCAGCTGCAAAACTATTTGCATCCCCAACCGAATCCGGCGACAGGTGAATCTCGACTGACACGCACCTGCAGCTCGCGATTTGGTTCAACCGAGCTGGGTATGAAAGGCCAATCTGCGAAAGGCATCTCCGTTCGGAGTGGATGTGGGCAGTAAGTGGCAGTGGGCGGCAGTGGCTGGCAGATCGCTCTTAAATAAGATAAGCCCATCTAGAGGTAATCCACCTAGTTTCATTTGCAGGTCTAAAAGCTTTTTCATTGCATTTCGCCCTGGCACCCAAAAGTATGGAGCGAATACGAGTTTACTAACTAAAAACGTTAAGTTGATTTCCCTTAGAAACCAGCATACCACTGCCAAAAGCCCTTTTGCGGCCTGCCAAATTGTCATTTGGCCAAGACCTGATTGGTGTCACTGGCACTTTCGCCCGACTGAAATTTTAGTGCTTTAGCTAATCGATTTCCTAAATAAATGATGGTCCAAATCAAATGCCATTTAATTAGCAAAATTGCCAGTGCAATGCATCGACCATCGAGTGTCTATTCTGTAAGCTGAATCTAGTAAGTGGATTTCCTGAAATACGAGTGGTACACTTAATTAATTACCTTTGACAGCTGAATGAAACGAAGCGGCTAATTAAAGCTCAGGATCTAGCTAATTTCAAATTCATTTTCTTAGATTATGGGTTAGGTGCACATTAGTAGGCTATTACGAATGCAACAAATACGTCTATACATTTTCAAAACATAATCAACAACAGCAATTGTGGGCGAACGTACAACGTAAACGATTAAATGATATAGAAATTAAAGTGGATTGTAGATTGCTTACCCTGGGCACGGTTATATTTATCAGACCCCAACAGATTTTTTTCAGTCCCCATGGTATCTTTAAGGGTTTCGTATAGTTTGGTTTCAGTATTGTTTCGGTTTCAATTTGGTTTTGTGAGTGCACGTGGGCATTGACATTTACATTTTACAATAGTCATGTTGTTTTAGCGTTTACATGTCACAAGCACATTGCAGATTTGTTTATTGTCGTCGTTTGAAGGTCGTGGTAATCGTTGTTTTCGATGATTCAATATTCGCATTTGAATTTTTGTTTTATTTGTGCAATTTCAACCATAAATTTGAGCACGCACGCACACACACAGGGACACAAAATGGTGTATTGAATATTTCAACAACAATTCGTGGTTTTCGAGTTATTCATTGTTGTATTTAAAATGGATTTGTTTTTGTTTTGGGTGTTGTTTTTTGTGTGGTGTGGTGGGTGGGAGAATAGAGTGTGAAAACACAAAAAAAGATTAATTAACAGATCGCAGCACAATAATTAAAATGTATAACAAGGATTGTTCATTGTGTCGCAGAACGAAATCAAATCCAAATCAAGGTAGGAAACACATTTGGAAAAGGGTCACGTTTTCGTTGGTGTTTTGAGTTACGAAAAGATTGGCGTGTCAGTGTGTGGGGTTTGTGTTGTGCAAAGCAAAGTTGAAAGTAGAAGAAAAATATTATGTTTAAAAATTAGTTATGACTTAAAACGAATCGCTCTTCGCCGTTGCAATGGGCATTTCAATTTTGTGGGGGCGCACTACGTTGACTTACTACCAGACCGCTTTGATTAAAACTATGGCTTTAATGTTAGAACTGCAATTTAATGTTAATAACTAGCATAAATCTAGCATAAATATTAAGTATTAATGTGGAGGGTTACAGCTACTCATCCTGAAAGTATGCACGCTGCTGGCTGACTGTAGTGAACTGCCCTATAAGCAACTATTCAAAAGCACCTGACTATTCTTGCCAGCATTTAACATGTCAAAACCGCAGCTTAAGGTGAAACACAGACTCTGTCTGGGAACTTTGTCTAGTGCCACGGCCATAGTGCGGCAGTTGCAACTGCCTGCTGCACCGAACAGGCAGTTGAACCACCATCCAGATCTGCATTCGCAAGTGGCAACTGCAGGTGGTGGCCACAGGTGGCACTATAAGCTCAGACACCCACACTCACCGCAATCACCGCCGCACGGAATTCATGATATTTGCCACAAAACCGAAATGGAGGAGACCGGACTAAGCCCCAAAATGGCCACAAAGCACGTTCGCAATTTCAACACAAACTTGTTGAATAGTTAATCACAAAAATTCAGGGTTAATGAATTAGTTTATGCATTTAAAATTGGTCAGCACTAGATTTTTCTCGTAAAATGACCCAAGTGCAATGTCATAAATCGTGATTACTCACTGATTCATTTTAAAGAAATTGAATAAAAAAGATCAGCAGGATATTACTTTTATTTGTAATTTGATTTAAGCTTTGGTGGCAACCGACCATTATGCATTTAAATAGTTGAATAAGTTGAATTATATTCCGTAATAAATGGTTTAAAATGTGTGCTGCTGACTGCCTTTTGACACTTTGGCACAAGCGGAATAAAAATGGAAGGGAAAACTTTAACAACTCATAACTACGAGTTACCACGGATGCGCCCGAACATTTTCTCTGGGCGAGAGGAAAACCAATTAAACTTTTAGCCCCCAATAGGGCCGAGGGACGTAAAGCCGCAAAAAGTGGGGCGAAACATTAAGAATGTTATGCTTATCTACAGCCGAACGAAGCCTTTGGGCATATAACGCATAACCATATAGTATGATAGTACATACATACATGTGGGTTCGTATTTTATATGCGAATGCATGTTGGAATCTCTTTGGGACCGTTTCATGCAGCGTCTATTAAAATAAAAGCTTTTCCTCCAGCGCAGGCGAGGAGCCACAAAACTTTTGTGTGGGCATAAAACACAGTTCGGTTGATGTGGAGCGAAATGTGGCATATTTCAAATTAATTAAACGGTCAGGGTAGAACAAAACGACTGAGCCATGGCTAATAGCCGTGCACGACCGAAAGAATGGAATATAAAAAATAAATATCAGTCCTGCAGCGGCAGCTTAATTAATTAAATTTGTTTAACACTTCAGTGTGGTGCAGTAATGATTTTCCATAACCCCATAACCCCTTCCAGTGGGCGAAGGGGAATAGATTTTAACCACTTTGGTTAACGTGGTTAACTGAACGGAAATTGCTAAACTAATTTGCCAATATGCAGTTCGAAACTCCCAGTGGAAATCGCAGAAACAATGCAGTTGTGGAACTGAAAGCCTGAACATGCGGTTATCCAATTAAGTTCGCCATCCGGAATCGAGCATAAAAATTGATGCACCCGCAGTTAGGGGATTAAACCACAGCTCGATAATGTTCAGCCGCAGGATGCAATTTGACGGGCCACCTGTCTTATCGCAACCGATAAAAGTTGTGCAACATAAACAGCACTTAATACCCACATCAAGCGTCGTCATCCCATCCGCTCGTGCATAATGCAAGCTGGCGAATAACAAAAAGGGGTGATGGGTGTTGGGTGTTGGGTGATGGGTGGTAGTCCTTCAGTGTTTCACCTGCTCTTGACTTGCGGGTTTCCAAAGTGGAAAATTGATGGTGAAGCTGCCGCTGAGACGCCGGCAGCTTATGCTGATGCTGCAGCTGCTGTTGGTGTTGCTGTTGCACCGGCTGTTGCCACGGTTGATGAAGTGCCACATTCGTTCTCGACAAAAAGGGCCACAAGACGTCGCCGTGACGATGAATCTGAGGCGTGAAGTGAAGGAGGAGTGCCATCGGGGGCATTCAGCGAATTTCCCAAAGCCCGCTTTTGCATGGCTGGGTCTCAAAAGAAGTGCGAAATTGACTTTTTTGGATTTCCACTCAAAAGTTTGCGCACTGGCTCAGCACCAGATATGCCCGCAATCCATTCAAGGGTTCAAACATAAAACAAGCTACCAATTGTTGCTTGTATATTAAATAATTGCTAGTGCTTACTCCCCTGACATGGATACGCTTTTAGTTCTGACAATGTACGTATGTTTTTTGTCCGCACAAAACCATTGTTGATTATTGTGGCAACTGCATTGTGAAGCATTTCTGTGGCATAAAAAACTGCGAAAAGGAGTGACAACAGTTTTTTTTTTTTTTTTTTTTTTTTATTGTAGTTTATTAAGATATACAGGATAGCTATGAACCCTTTTATTACCTTATTTTCTATTGTTTCTGCCAATTGGCGCTCCGGCTATAGGGAATATTTAATATAGCTTTTTCTAGTTTGGTCTAATACTCTCATGTTGTTTTATAATTAATGTTTAGCTATTAAGCTATTGTTATCTTAGCACTAAGTCTCTTGGTTGACGTCTTTTGATCCTCTGCCTCGGTCGAGTAATGGTGAGATCATTAGCGAGACGATTCCTGTGGTTCATCAGTCTTGAGTTGTACCGACTGGAGTGGAAGTTGATTTGTTGTAGTACCGTAACTAGTTTTAGGTCCCTATGTAGCACGCTATTTCGAATGTACCACTCACAGCCTGTAATTTGTCTCGCTATTTTGTTCTGGGCCACCTGAATTTTTTTGATTTGGCTATCTCTTGCTATCCCCCAGATTTGGCAACCATATTGCCAGATGGGAGCAATGACCTGCTTGTATAGGGTGAGCTTATTTCGGGTGGAGAGTTTACTGTTGCTTCTTAGGAGCCACCAGTGCTTTGTCACAGCTGCTCTCACCCTTGTTTTGATGGCTGCTATGTGGGGAGCAAATGTGAGCCGGCGATCTAATGTTATGCCAAGATATTTGGCCGTACTACACTGCTGTACCATCTCCTCACCTAGTTGAACAGCAGGTGGTGTTTTCCTCCTTAGTGAGAAGCACACGTTAGCTGACTTTTGACCATTTATGCCAATATTCCATCTTCTTGCCCATTTCTCGTACCTGTCAGCGTACTCTTGTAGGCCGTCTGCTGCTTCATATTCGCAGGATGATCTGTAAGTAACACAGACGTCATCGGCGAAAGTGGCTAGAGTCATCCTGTCAGGGTTGGCGTCCATACTAGCATTTGGCTGCGGCATATCGTTGGTATACAGACAGTACAATAATGGACCCAGTACACTTCCTTGAGGCACTCCTGCACTGACCTCATGTATCCCTGAGGTTGCGGAGTGGAAACGTACTGCGAACTGCCTATTCGCCAAGTAGGACCGCATTAGCAAGTAATACGGTGCTGGTAGTGTCATTTTTATTTTGGCCAATAGGCCAATATGCCAGACTCGGTCGAATGCTTCCTTAATGTCCAAAAAGAGCGCATTGCAGTATTCTTTCTCATCGTAGGCTTGCAATATTTGGTCAACGATGCGGTGCAGTTGTTCTATTGAACTGTGACCTGCACGAAATCCAAATTGGTGATCAGGGATGGCTCTTCTGGATGACATTATCCCAGCAATTCGGGCAGAGATAAGTCTCTCAAAGATCTTCGAGATTGATGGGAGGAGACTGATTGGCCGGTAGGATGCTGGGTCACTCTCTGGCTTTCCGGGCTTGTGGATCATACTCACT